TTAAATTATAATAAAAAATAAATTAAAGAAATTACATAAAAAATGAGAACTTTTAAATAGTTGATTTGATATTAACAATGATATATATTTTTTTCAAATTTTTATGATATCTTCAAATTTATATTTTATTCAAAAATAAAATTATTATTGCTTTATTAAAAACACATAAAATCGTATTATAATATCAACATCGACAAATAATAAAATAGAATATTAAAATCGAGATATGTCTCGCTACATTGTACGAGTACTTTTCTAATATATATATATATATATATATATATACTCATCTCATTTGTACAATCAATACAATCCAATTAAAATTGAGATATTTATGGAAATGATGAGAGTTTATTTATTATGATTTGAATACTTATGGAATATTAGTAGGATTTATTAATTAAAATCAATACTTTATATCAAAAAACAATCAAAACTTATATAAAATCATATATTCATAAAATTAAATAAACAATTGAGATTGAGTTGTATTAATTATACAAACTGACCATTAATGATAACTCAACCTCTCTATATGTATTAGTTATTTTTAATTATGATTAGAAGTATTATCTCTTTCCAACTTGGAATCTTGTTTGCGATTTTTGGGGCATTTGTCTTGATGAAAACAGCGGTCCACACCTATCCATCTGCACCAACAGCTTCTGTATTTGGATGGAATCCAAGGATGATGATTAATTCCTTAAGCATAATATATGTGAAATTGTAAATTATATACATACATACACACATATTTATATCTATATGTTATGTAGAAGAAGATACAGACTCACTGTAACTGTAAATTTGGAGCTGGAAAATGGCGGAAGAGAGAGAGACAGAGGTGATTCATTCATGGTCTGCTCCGAGATCTTTAAGCACAAGCTTAATGTACTCTTTTGCTCAGGTAATCTGCTGCTTCATTTGATCTAATTTTGTGTGTTCGCTTTTGGAATTTTTGAATTCGTTTTGAAACTTTGGGGAGTTCTCGAACATGTCTATGTTCTCTGATGAATTTTGTTTGTCTTCAATTAGAATCTGCTTCCGTGATTTGGTGCAGTAAGCTACTTGATCTAATGAAAAGTGATGATGCATTTTGAATTTTAGTATCACTAATTTCTCTTTTGGATTCTGATTTCCCGTCGTGTTGGATGTTGACTTGAATGATTTCGTGTTAAATCGTCGATTAAACTTACTTTTTGGCTTATTATTTGCAATTTAATTGATGATAGTGATTTGTCTGAATTCTATATGGTCCATGGGTGTTTTTGTGGTCGAAATGAAAGGGATTTCACCAGAAAGTTGAACTTTCTCTTATCATCGAGTAATTCAAATTTATCAGTTGTCGGTATACAAGTATTTATGGTCAAGTTTTATTACATATTATTTGGGTCAAGCCTGAATCAGCGGTGGGCTGATGATTTTTGCGGAGTGGCTCCACCTTAATGTGGATGTAAGGCTCTCAAAATCTTCTCTGACATGTTTTTACTGGAATTCTACTGTTCCAAAGGATTTTTAAAAGGTTTTTGGTTGATTTAAAGCGACATTCGTTGGTTTTTTTGTTTATTTCGAAGGACTATTTTAGGTTATTTGGTTGATTTCCTTTGTATTTTCTAATATTCTTGAAAACATCTCGAAATTTGGTGTGTACCTTTCATACTCCAAAAAGTTCTACTTAGAAGAAATCGGTTGAGGAGATACACAGGACCACCTGCTGGCCTTTCATAGGTCCACCTTTGGCCTGAACCTGAATCAAACTATATTTTTGAACCATTCATACTTTCTGATCAAACTTTTGCGCGAATACAATTCGGAATGGATTTCTTTGAGCTCGTGAATCAAGCTTTGAATCTTTCTTGAGCCGAGCTCGAGCCGGTGTAAAAAAAACTTGTTGAACTAGCTGATCGAGCTCCAGCTTGAGCTTGAGCTCGACCTCACGTGTTTGCAGTCCTTAAAATCAGAGCTACGTCATTTTTGCATGTAGGTGTTCAGCGTTCTTATAGGCATAATGTAATATTTAATTTTCTCCCCAATTAATATTAGAATTTTGAGGTAAAAACTAAAAGGTATCTATTTTTATTATTACTGAAGATGTTTTGAACGTTTTAGCAATAATAGAATATTATTATCTGCTCTTTCAAAAGTTTGAATGTGATAAGATTTATTTTTGTGTAGATTGATAAATTGCATTTTATCGGAATAATAATATTTGAAAATGAAAACTTGATAAATTTACAAAACCAATATTTTGGACCGAGTCTTTCAACCCAAATTTTCATTTTTGTTTTTTCGTAAATATTTAATATATATTTTTATAAAATTGTTTGGTTATATTTAAAAAATTTATGTCTCGAGTAACAGTAAAATAAAATTATTTTTTTACGGAATATGTAAATTTTAATTTGTTTCAATGACGTCAGTTATTAATTATTCAAATATTTTCTAAAAGATACCCTTTTCCTTTTGAGAAATTGATAATTTCTCAAACCAACTTCACTTTAGTCAATTTTTTAATCAAATTCCCATTCTAAAGATTTTCTTTCTTTTCTAATATAAAAATAGGATTTACACAAATGTATAAGGCATTTGCATAAGCTCCGATTGAAAAAATGGCTAATACGTGCGTACAAATTTTTTTTCCTTTTTGCAAATGCGCAAAAATTTGCCTAAACTTTGGTTAAAATGAGATTTCGATGTCAAAAGTGGCTAAAAAGTGAATTTGGTTGAAGTGATCGATTATTTTGGTCAATTTCTTTCTTTTTGCTCTGCATTTTTATTAACTTTTATGCTAAGCATTATCGTATTCAATATGTATGCAAACTTTGTTATGGTTGAGCTTTTTTGCGAGCTTAAGTTGGCATTTATAATGTACAACTTTCAGTGCATGTATGATACTACTGCTCACTGTGCTCAGGATTTGTCATTTATGCTCTAGTGTCTAGACAAAAAATCAGTTCGTCTGTTTATCATTTACGTATTGTCTTATAATTATAATCGACCTGTTACCATGTAAATGTCTTAATCTGCATGCCAATTGCCACATGCTTTTGCTTTTGGCATCGAGCCAATTGAGAGAAGGACACCTACATTTTGCCAAATGTAAATAACCATAAAATAGAATTCAAATACCAATAACATAAAATTGTCCAAACTACCGGTGACCATTTGACCTTCAAGTAAAATTATTTTGTTGCCCATGAGGATATATAAGCAGTTATTTTGCATGTAAAGTGATTATGTTAATTGTTTTTCTTGGCATACTATATATATAGCTCTTTGTTGTGCTGAACAAATTTCTTTTACGTATTATTCTTCAGAGGGATGATACAGAAGTGGTTGATGAACCTCTTTATGCACACTATTTAAGGGTAACCGGGGTTGATAGGCCGTATAGAGAAGAGCTTCTTTCAAAGATGGTAAGTAAATATCACTTCTTAATTTAAACTCTACATGCCATTTCTCTAATACTATTTATGGTTTTGTAATGCATAGGAATCTGATGGAAATAAGGTTGTGAACAACATCATTTACGGTCCTGGAGGAAAAAAGTATCGATATTGTAAGGTAATTAATTGATTATACATTTTCCATACTTATCTGTCCTCTTGTCAGATTTTAACTCAAATGTAAGTGGATGAGACATAGCTACAAGAAGATATCCTGCATTAAAATCTGGGAATGTTTCATTGCAGACCCCAGATAATTTGCCTACAGAATTATTTGGGATAAGTGCTGGAAATAAACGTATTCAATATTTTGGTATATCCTGTTGAATGGTAAGCTAGACATAGTGTCCAGTATTAGGAGTTAAGTCTGAACAGTTGTCACTCAAGGGGTGCATCAGTTGTAACACTTGTGCATGTTATGAACCGTTGCCTTCCAAAGGGTATGGCAGTTATGGCCATCTGTACATATATACACTTGTGTAATCTGTTGTATTTAGTGTGATATTAATAAGAAAAGTTAAATTGTTTTCAAGTATATTATCCTTTTGTATTACTCTGTTCTATCCCAACATATCCATCATATTTTCCATTTCTCACGCATTTTTCTTTTCCATTATAAACCTTGGAGTTCGTTTATTTGCTTACATTGTATTTGTGTTGTTGGTTGCCAATATTGTGCATTATTATTTGTTTGAGACATTACACACATTTGGTATCCAATTTGTTTTCGCATTCGTTGTTGGGTTCATTTGCACACGTTGATCTTATTATTGTGGGACCTGTGTGTGTCGGTCTGGAAAATACCCCAGCATAGATTGTTTCTAGTAGGTCATACCTAGTAAAAACTCTTTATCGGGAATTGGTTTTGTTTCTCGAGGTCTTTGGGATGTTTTGATGCTTATATACTTTTACTTTCCATCTTAACAAGATTATGATATTATTTTTGCAGCATATTGCAAAACAACGCATGCCTGGTTTAAGTAATGAGTTGATGGAGAAAGGAAAGCACTTTATATTAATTCGGAATCCCCTTGATATATTGGTACGTTTTTTTTTTGTTAAAACTTACTCCCCTTTGTTCCATAACAAGTGTTTAATTTGACCTTTGAGAGTTGAAGAAACAATATGATCTTAGAAAATAAATCCTTGTACCATACATATCTACCTCTTGATCACCAATTAAATCAATGCTCTAGTAACTTAATTTTATACTACTAATACACTGAGCTAGACCTGGCTAAGCAGCTGGTGATCAGGTAATAAATTACCTCAAGGGGATAATAATATATGATTATAGAATTTCACGTTCGTATGTTTTGAAAGCTCATAAATGATTCATATACCAAATCTAAGATACCCATGATGCATATTAATATATATGCACAACGAGCAGGACAAAAAGAAGACTTGTTAAGCAAACCTTTCTATTCTCTATTAGTCCATGTTATGGCTTAAAGAAGATATGTTACTACATTTCTCCTAAATAGTTAGTACACTTGTCTTACAGGCCTTAACTGTATAAGTTTGCAGCCTGTTATTGAAATCGGTCACGGGTTCAAACCCGCTTTTCCCCACCTATGAAAAAGAATTATGCTTAGCTGCTGCTCAATCAATTAGTTATGAAATACCATTAACTTACTTCACGGGCGAGGTCACTCCCTTTTTATTTTTTTACTAGTTAAACGTGTGGAATAGATAAAACTTCATATGGGTTCGATATACTTTTATCTTCAACGAATGGCCAAATGCGGAGCGGATAACTGCTAAAAGCATCTAAGTAAGCCCACTCCAAGATGAGTGCTCTCCTAAAGTTTGGAGTGTAGTAGTGTACTTGCTTTGAATTGCTTCAGTACTTCGCCTTGGAAAGTATAATTGATATGTTTATGTTGTGTCACCAGAAATCCTTTCACAAGGTTGTCCCCTCATCCTTCCATGAATTAGGGTTGGCAGACCTGGTTTCTATATACAGCGAACTGTGTGCAGCAGGGAAGAGCCCACCTATTATTGATGCCACTGAACTTCAAGAAGACCCTGAGGTTTTGAATTCATCTGTGAACACCCTATGATTGTTTGAAGATGCGTCCTGTTATTTTCTTAATTTCTTATGCAATTCTATTCTTCTTTTGACTTTTATATTGAGTATAGTAACTTTTTCAAGCTTGTATTTCTTTTGTGATATTTATGAACATTTCGAGTTCTCCACTCTGATCTGTGATCGGTTAAAGTATTATCTATTCATTTTTATGCATAGTTGTATATTGGCGCTAACCAACAACTAGCTACAGCTATTGGTCATATACAAATCAACTCATCTACAGTTGTCAGATAGGGTAATGGATAGCCAAGGTTTATTTATACTATCAGATAGGTGGTGTACTCAGAAGTCGGATCGATCATTTGATGGCAAATGGGGTTGGCTGGAAAATGATCAACAACCAGATTTTTGCTTTTGATCACTTACCATTTTATTTATGCCTAGTGTATATGGCCGTATAAGTGACTAGGATCTACTTGCTAGGGATCTTTTAGAGACTAATACTGCTACACCCACAAGCATCCTGTGCAAATGCAAGAAACTATCATATATTGAACTTTTATACCCTTTTTATATTTGTTACCATAGTATTGATATCTGCTGATCTAAAATGATTTCATCAGAGTTGACGGCCTTTGGAATTTCTCGGACATGACCTCTGATATATAGTAGTGCTTGGAGGGGTAGAACGAGTGTACCAAACTAGGGGTGGGGACTTGTAGTTAGCTTCGGCGGGGGGAAAGGAGCTGGTGAGCTAGAGGGTGGGGTGGTAGGGTTAGGGAGCTGGCAGGTAGGTTACTGGAGTCCTAAGATAGATTCGGGGATGTGTAGCTTAGTTTCCTTATGCTAGCCTCTGTTTTTGTGGTTAAAAGTCCACCATAATTTACGGATTCAGTTATATGTGATTGTATGTATTTTTAGATAGTCAATCATGATATTTTAGGATAGTTTTTTATCTCCTCTATACTCTTCTTCATCTTCTCCCTATTAAACTTTCATCTTCCAACTACCTTATTTGGAAAAATGAAGTTTCCCCTCTATTAGCCTATCAAAACCTAACAGGCCACATCGATGGAACCTTATCTTCCCCACCCGAAAACCATCATTATCGATGAAAAATCCTCCGCCAATCCGATTATGCTACCTGGAAAGGTTCCGATCAAAAGGTTCTTCTCTTGCTCCAGTCCTCCTTATCGAAAGAAGCCATGGCCGAAATCATCGGCCTACCCACCGCTAGACAGGTTTGGCTCGCTCTTGAGGCTGCTTACAGCCACCACTCTTTGGAGTGAATGCACACTCCTCGGGAAACCCTTCGTCAATTGCAAAAGGATTCTTCTACCGTTCCAGAATATGGGCGGAAATTCAAACTTATTTGTGATCAACTCGCAGCGATTGGTCACCCCGTAGACGACAATGACAAATGCCACTGGTCTCTTTGTGATCTTGGATCGGCCTTCGAAACATTTTCCACAGCCCATCGGGCCCTTCCATCATCATCTTTTCGCGATCTTCTGTCCAAGGCAGAAAATCACGAACTTTTCATACAAGCTATTCATGTCCCTACCGCTCCACAAGCTGCCTTTGTCGCACAAAAGCCCCGTTCCGGAAGTTCTTCTCGAAATTTTCAGGGCTCTTCTTATTCCAATCAAGGTCTGTCACGTGGGTCGGGCCATGGTCGTGGCCGTAGACCACCACACTGCCAGCTTTGCAGGAAAGGACACTATGCTACTGCGTGTCCTAGCTAGCCTTACTTCGTCTTCCCAATTTCCAGTCCATCTTTCCTTCTGGTCTCAAGGTCATCTCTTTCATCTTCTTTTTTCTCTTCTTCAAATTCTTCGTACTGCATTTGACTGCTCACACTTTTCACAAGTCAGGGTCTTCATGGAAACCGCCTCTCTACTCGGGGCAGAGGTCAGTTTTGTATACATCCCACCCCCGGCTGGTTGGTTTGACTAGAGTTGGCTGAAACTTGAACCAGACTTTGGAATCTTGTTTGTGATAAATTTCAGATACTTGCACTTCTGAATTTTATGCATGCACAAGTTGAGACAAACAATATATTATCATCTATCTTTGTGTCTTCACTTGTATGCTTACCTTTTCACTTCGTCCTTCTGCAGGCTGCTTTACGTGGACTTTGTGAAGATCTTAACATTCCGTTTCAGGCTTCAATGCTCAAGTATGTTAAATGCTCTACCAGTCAACTGTTACTATTAAAATACTTCTGTCAAAAGAGCCTCTTCAGTTTCATGGATGGTATTGTGGTTTCAACTGTAGTTACTGTAATTTGCTCAACACTGTACTGGTGGAGATAAATACTCTGTTTTACGTGGCCTCATCTTACTGAACTGGCATGTATGATTCTCTTAGAACGCGAAACCTGGTATTTCTCAAAATCACAATCCGTAGAATGTCTTTATTTTCAGTACCTATTGTTTTCTATCTATACATTTCCTGTACATTTTTGTATGTAGTCACCAAGATTTTTCGAGAACTTCAAAGATTCATGTCGATTTTAAAGGGGAAAGTAGTACATATATTTCATAAGTCAAAGGAGGACCATCTTTGAGGATGGAGTGAGTTGAATTAACACTGTAACATCTTTTAGTTTATGATTTTCATTCTCCTATTAGTTGGAAATCATAATCTATTTGTGTTAATCCAACCTGCTAAAGTTAATGTTCATCATCTTTATGCCACTTTTCTGTAGAACACAGTGATTGAATGCCTATAAAATTTAAGAAATCTTAATTTAAGAGGCTTTTCTAACTTGTAGACTCGTGGTTGCTCTTAAGAAACATTTAGTAGTGCTGATTTTACAAGACCTTCTCTCATTCTATCTTTCATGGGGACTACTATCTACAAAAATCATTCAACCCCTCTTACGTCTTCGTTTCCATCATTACATACTACCAAAGGAAGGTGACCTTAGACATGCCTTATTTCTTTTCTTTTTTGAAGCATCATTCATACAGCATATTATTCCATGTATGGTTCTTGGATATACCAAGTATGATCTAAATTCAGATTCTTTTTTCTCTATTGAATTTGACCTTACATGACAAGATTGTTTACCTCAATGTTTGGTGAAAAAATTAGTCCACACCTACATTACGAGCCCTTTGGCTTAAACCATCTGCGTGTGAAATATTTCATAAGTTTTGAATAGAAAGGAGAAACTGTCATGCTTTGTAGCTTTATGTTGTGATCCTTCTTTTCCTCATTTTACTAGAATTAGGTAAAACAGGTTGTAGCCCTTCTTATATGTTTCTTATCTATCTAATTAAGCGTCAATTTCAACCTGGTCTAGTCGATGAGGGCCAAAGTCAGGTAGTGATCAAATTGTGCTATGGTATGAACTTGCCATGTGCACTCTAAATGGTGACATGCTTTAAGTAGGTGCTGTATTTAGTCGTTTAAGAACTAATTCAACATGGTAGCGGGAAAACTAATTATCATTAATGCTGAAAGTTCTGCTGGGGGTAAATTCCAAATACATGAAGTTCAAGCATCCAATTTATTCTTTTGGCAAGCAACATAAAACCAGGAAAGGATTAGATTATGAAGTTCTATCTAGAGCTATAACTCTGTTTATATTCTTTTGTTTTCATGCAAACATATCTTACTGGCAGTGTTCAGATATACAAATTATACAGCTAGCCTCTTCAATCTGTTTACATTTGAATCATTTGCCCATTCTTTGATAATCATTATCTGTCCCCATATATTTCCAGATGGGAAGCTGGTCCAAAATCTGTTGATGGCATTTGGGCTCCATGGTGGTACAAGAGCGTGCACAAATCTACAGGCTTTGTGCAAACTGACAAATATCGTCAAGTATATAACTCATGCTCCTTACAATTGGTAGAAACACTTACTTTTGTATATGATATTCTGGATGAAACCAATTATACTGATTTAAGAATATAATAAGAAGATTGGCTGCTGATTTGAGGTTGTTCTCATGTTTTCTTGCACATAGAACTACAACACATGATTAATCTTACTGGGATCTAATTAGAGCACTATATTTCTTTATGAGCTTTTATACCTTGTATAAGGTGTCAGGGTAATTTGGTATCTTATAGAGACTTTAGTAATAGTATTTTGGTACATTTTGATGTTAGGAAAACCCTTCGTAGGGCTGTGTATTTATGATTGTTGGTAAAATCAAGGTTTGGCATGAAAAGGTCGACAGATACTTCCCACGAAATGCATTTCACAACCTTTGATGCATCATTTATTTGGATAGATGAATATATGCACATATGTTCCATGGTATTCTGTTCGTCTCATAAAGGTCTCAACTTTATGTTTTCAGATAGGTGAAGGAGCTGTTCTAGTGACTATAAGACTTATTAACCTTGTTGTATAATGTTTGTTCTCCACTCACAATCTTACATCAACAGTTTATTTTTTGATGTTTATGGTAAAAGCTTAGTTTTTCTTTGATAAATCTAGTAGATTGCATAAAAAGTTAAGCATACACAATTATGGCAGTATGTTTCAGTATGCTATACAACATGCTGATCAAAGAAGTGGGACAGATCCCACTAAAAGGATTAAAGATCTCAGTAAGAAAAAGGAGACATATCAAGATCAAATTTTCTTAAATTAGAGGAATAGATACCAAAACTATAAGATGGAGGTCTGAAGTCCCAGCATATATTTTTATCATCTTCGCCATAAAACCACAAATAGGTGCAGCCAGTGCCTCCTGAAAGATCCAATTAAAATCTGGCTATCATATTTCCCGAAAGTTACTGGTTACATAGTCAAAATAATCAATAAGTTACCCTTTATAATGTAGAACAAGGAGTAGCAACCTTACACTTTGTATTAGGCTAACTCCTAAAAACAGATGCCTAAGGAATTGGAAAATATTGATCCACAAAGAAAGAGGGGAGAGAAAAATGATGTAAAAGTATGAACAGCAAGCATGAACTTCGTATCATTAGTAGAGATGAGCTTAGAGAAATAGAGAAACAATAAAATATGAAGTGAGGAGAGTAATTTGTACGTTATTTGAGAACATATGAACAGACAGAGAAGCGGAGAGATAAGGAGAAATATAGCAATGGTTTTGGTGTGATAAAAAAATGTGAGGGATTAAAAGAACAACAATGAGGTATCCAGTATGTTTATTCATTGATTCAGATTGAAACAGAGTTGGCACAACTCTAAGAGGAAGTGTGATGATTGCTTTTAATATTTTTTACCAAATTATTATGTTTATCTTGGGGACTGCAAAAAATGTGAAATATGTGGTGATTTGGATAAGAAGACATTAGGAGAGAGATGAAAAGCAAGACAAACCATAGCATCTGTCAGACATCAGACCCACGCAATTTTATTGTGATTGTGTTGATCATGCTTGTCCTTTCACACATCAGTTTTGCTATGAAGTGGTTTAAATTTCATCTAATTTTCTTCTTCCCCTGCTCAGCCTTTTCCAGCATTGCTTTATGATTTGCTGGAGCAAAGTTTACCCTTCTATAACATGCTGAGAAGTAATGCAAGGCGCAAAAGATTTCCGAAGCTTCCAATGCCTTCGCTTCCCGTTCCTGCTAATGAAAAGCTTCTTGTTTGGGTTGGTGATGAAATTTTACCCCGTGACAGTGCAATGGTACCATATCCGAAGTCTATGATGACTATGCTTTATGAAACTATCAGATTGTATGTTTAGTAGTCTGTACTGCTTTTATATTCTCATTGTTCCTTGTGATGTTTAAGGTTTCAGTATTTGACTCAGTTGTCCAAGGTGGCGATTCAGTATGGGAAGGACTTAGAATCTATAGTGGTAAGGTGTTTAAGCTTGAAGAGCATTTAGACAGGTCAGCAACTGAAGACAGTTTCTTAGGGAAGTGTTTCTTTAGTTGTAAGATCAGTGAGTAATGATCATGGGTTATGCTGATAACTGCTCTGTATGTCAGGTTGTTCGACTCGGCAAAAGCTCTAGCTTTCAACAATGTACCAACTCGTGATGAGGTAGAGATCATGCTGTCAAGCTTTTCCTGCTCAATGCTAAGCTAATTAAACTGTTCGCACATGTTCAAATTCTTTTAAATGTTTTGGGTTTTTTTTACTTGCTGCTATTTTTCTTGCTTAACTTATCTATCATTCATGTTTTCTATTTATTTGTCTTAGTTGTTTTGTGTCGTATGCAACTCTTCCAGGTTAAAGAGGCCATATTCAGTACACTGATGGAGAATGGGATGTTTGACAATGCACACATCCGTTTAAGTCTGACACGTGGCAAGAAGGTTGTGCTTTTACTACCCTACTCTTTCAAAGTAGCCTGAATTAGGGTCTTCAAGCATGTGTGGCTTCTCTGAAATGCGTTTGTCAATATGATGTGAATCTAAGAAAATATACTTTGTGGGTTGAAAAGAGTCAAGATGAAGTGTATGCATGAGTGAATAATGCCTTCATAATCTAGGTGAGACTAAACGTGCTTGCGATAAAAGGATAAAATGGGCCGATATCTAAAATCTTTCAATCCACTGGTTTCGATCATGGGGCGAAGAGAAGGTTTCTTGTAATTCGGAGGAACCAAATGGATTGATTTATGCTTTATATACATTGTACAGTACCCTACCACATGGCGTTTGGGTTGTTGATGTTGTATAAATAGCAGTTTAGTTCACTCATCACTGATGGGCTGACATAAGTGTGATGTCACATGCAACCAACCTCTCAGTCTGTATACTTCTCACTTTCTTTATTCACAACCTAGTGACGATCTTGAATAACTATGAATTGCTTGCTTATATTGGCTGAGGTTAACTTGTGATCATGGTTACAATTGAGGTAAATAAATTATAATGCTAAGTCAGAGCTCCCAATCACTTGTCAGATTGATTTTTTAGAAATGATGTTGTAGATGCAATTTCTGATCTTTTGTACCGGTTAGCTTACTTTTCCTTGTAAAAGGGAATTAACACCTGCTTGCACTTTGGTAGTTAGTCTGTTCTCCAGTCTACTTCACATTTACTATTAATTGCATGGATGGAGGATTTCACTTGTATTTTGCTGCCATGAAAAACCTAAGCTATAATTTTTATATTGTATTCAGCTGCCATGAAAAAGTGCTTGTCTGATACACCATGATATCAATCTTCCTGCAGGTCACTTCAGGGATGAGCCCGGCTTTTAATCTTTATGGATGCACCTTAATAGGTTAAGTCAGTCATTATCTTCTACAGCTTAGTCTTTCTTTAACCTGAGTTCAGGTCACTGGAAAAGCCTCTTTGTAAAGTGCAAACGGAAGGGTGTGTAGAAAAACTCAATTCTGCGGCCCTCACCAAGCAGAGGTGCCTTCGTGCATGGGGTCCCCCAGTGGTGGTAGCAAACTTGTTTTGATTGGTCATGTTGGTTTTAGTTGGTTCTAGCCTACTTCTTCTATTCTGGTTCTGTAAAGCTAGATTTGGCGAAATGTCATCTTTTCAACAATAATCCTTTTCTATCTTCTTTCTGGTTTTTGAAATATTTGGTTGTCAGGTGTAAAGGTCCCCAAGAAAGATGATAATAAAGATTTTTAGTTTAAAGAAACTAAGATCGGGTATGTTAAAAAGTAGTTGAAAACAAAACTATAGATCCATCAGATAAATTGTGAAATTTGTAAATCCTAAGACTCGATCCTACATGCTAATTGTTGCTACTTGACAAGCTAAATGCTAATACCAGATATAAGAAATATTTCCAGCATGTCACCTGTCATGATAACACTATGGGACAGCTTTGACACACTCTTAACACTAGAAATTCTAATATGCAACTTGGAATTCTTAGTGAGCACTTGTACATATTTATATTTTCTTCAATGTCGTTGCAGAGGGTCTTCTGACAAACATAGATTTACATATTATAATTAGATTGATTCCTGGTGTTCTTTTTCTTGTACTTCCCCATTTACAGTTCTTGCAGAGTGGAAACCACCAGTCTATGACAATACAAGGGGTATTACATTGGTGACTGCCACCACTCGTCGTAATTCACCAAATGTAAGGCTTAGGATTCCGTACTGATTCTCAAACACATTCATGAAACCCTGGAGACCTCAGTTGTGGATAACCCTCTTATACTAACAAACTTATCTCAAAATTGATTGTAATTTTGCACCCCAAAATGTTCCTTGAAAATTGATGCACTGTGCTTTCTTTTGATCAGTAACTTCTTGATCATTCATTTCTTGCCAGAACTTGGATTCCAAGATTCACCACAACAACCTCCTGAACAATATACTTGCAAAGGTAACTGTCTTTTTTATTTTATTTTCTAATGGCATGCATTATAAATTTATAATATGAATGCTCACAAGTCATAGTTCACTTTGTAGACTGTTATTTCTTAGGATATGTGGAAAGCCCATTAAATCTCGCTTGAAAAGATCCCTTATAGCAAGATGGGAGGTTCCTACTATATACAGGTTTGATGGTCCATGTCTAGCTGATGTGGAACTCCAACATTATTTACGGGAACAACCCTATATAGCCCCTTCTGTTTTCTACTCCATCACAATGTTTTCCCAAGACATCTTTTGGGTATATGAAATTGATATAGGAATTAGGTATTCTAAGTTGTAAGTTTTTTATTTATGGAGCATTTAAATGAGTCTGTAAGTTGGTAGTGTCATCGAATGTCCATTTGTTACACAATTTTCTCATAAGAAAGATTTGTTAGTTTTATCATATCTATAAGTTTTTGGTGATTAAACTTATGTGGGCTAGAGCATCATTCATTTTATTTCTTAACCTGTTGAATAGGTCGAAGTTCAAATGTACTAGTTTATTGATTGCGTGACTTTGTTCTTCAAGGTGCTGTTAGATGCTTTGATTGTTGAATTTAACAACCAGTATGATCTTTTCAATGTGTTATATTTTGCTGAAATGAATATCTTTCTTATGCTCTTTTGCTAGTTGTTGAGATTAACAACCCATTAAGTGATGCAGATAGAAGGAAACAATGCAAATGCCGATGATGCAATCATGCTTGACAAGGATGGTTATGTGTCTGAAACAAATGCTACTAACATTGTAAGCCCATGTTTTGATCTTTTTTAGCCCCCAAACTTCTCATTTGTTGTAAGTTGATAAAATTAAGATTGCATAATGCTTACAGATGAGATGCCAACATCATTGGAACACTTTGAAAACATTTTATCATCTTTTTTCTTTTAACCTTTTGAAATAATAAACTATATATTTATTTTCCTTAGTCCTATGTACCTCGCTTTGAGGATATGGGACTTAATTGGTGTTATTTCAAAAATTCAAGAATTCTTTTTGCAATGCAGTTCTTGGTGAAGAAAGGTACCGTTATGACACCTCCTGCTGATTACTGTCTTCCAGGCATCACTCGAGCAACTGTAAGATCTTACATATTTCACCCTCACAAATGATGTAAATTTATTTCTACAGAAGATGTGCTTTATCCTACCTCTTTTAATAAATCTTATTTCTTTTTTTCCTCTCATTTCATGTTTATTTTTTGTTAGTCATTCTGCTTGAAGATCTTGCTCACATACCCTATTCACTAAACGTGCTATTGATGAAATCTTTTTATAGTTCTAGTCTTCTGATAAGGACCTATGTTGCAAAATACGGGCATGGGGATACTGGTGCATAATATGGGGATACTGGTATAGTGGTATTCTTCTAAAAGATTGAAGATACAAGAGCATGCTTATATGTGTGTATGCTTATACAAATTTAAAACCAGACCAGTAAAAGAAGTTATTTCATGATTCATGCAAAATATGCAAGATAAATACACATTTAAACTAAGTTCTATCATGATTTAAATTAAGAAAATATATTATTCTCTGTGTCTGCTCATATTTTATCTTCGTAACCATAAAATTTATGTCTGGGTATCCTGATTTTAATATCCCTGTAAATTGTGATCAATAAGTTGGGATATAATCAACACCGCATGAAATATGCACCCGCCACACTTCCGAAAAAACTCTCAAGCACCCTATACGGGAATTTAACAAGGGGAAGAAACACCCATGGTTCATAGATAAGGGACTAGATTCCTAGGAAGCCATTCAGACCATTCAGAAATAATAATTACACAATTCTTCTAGAACTTTCCATCTCTTCACTAGATAGAAAATCCCAAAGTTCTTTATTTGTGTCTTATCTTTGCCAACTTTAGATACAAATTTGATTTCATACTCAGTAGGACATTGTAATATATTCCCATCAACTGTTCTAGCATTTCATATTCATCCATACCATGTATTCACTTGTTGCAGGTCATGGACCTTGTTAAGATGGAAAACTTGGTTTTGGAAGTGCGCCGTGTCAGTCTCTCAGAGTTTCATACTGCAGATGAGGTTTACCTTCTTTACTTACAACAGGACTTGTTACCTTTTTTATACCATGGTATTTACTTAGTTGACCTCAAATGAGTTTTTAATTAGTATCGGTGATTTTAGTGAAATCATCGGTCTATTTTGTGTAATTGGATTAACAAGGAAATATGGGGTTGTTAGTTAAGCTATGACATGGGTTAGGAGGTGTGGAGCGCACACTCGTGTAAGCTAACTAGAACCCAGGATTGCTGGATGGTGCCATTTGGTGCGAGTCAAAGGGGGCCGCGCCCCTGGTGGTGGTCCCGACCGGTCAGCAGGCTGGGTCGAGGGGGGCCAAGCCTGCACAGATCCATGAGCTTTGTATTTCCTTTTGAATACACATTTTTAGATGATGATTTATGATTGATCCGAACATCAAAGGCTCAAATAAATGCATTCATTTCTAAGTGTAATAACAATCTAATATTTCATTGCAGGTGTGGACTACTGGAACTATGGGGGAACTCAGCCCTGTATGTTCTTATCTGCAACTCCATATGCTATTTGTATAAATGAGTTTTGAATTTGGATTGTATGTTTAATTTACATGAACCATAAGATCAATGATAATTATCATAAACATATATAATACTATTAATCTTGCAAAAATAAACATTACCTCCAGACATTCTGATGTTGGTGTTGTTTGCTGAGACCTATTAGGTTTCTCCCTCCTTGCCTATAACCTGTACGTTGTTTATCGTGAAATTAATAGTTCCTTCTTATGGAAGAATGCCATGATTTATATCTAATTAGGTACCTTTAGATTTAATCTCAACCCTCCATCAAATTTGTATCCAATGATAATACAAAGATCGTGTATAATCTATTCTCCTTCAACTTTAACAGTGATTTCTTTTTGTTTGTATAATATTATCTTACTTTTTTTTTGATGTATTATTGGTTTTTCTTCTGAACTCAAATACATTCATACTAATTTGTTGCATATTCAAAGTCAAAGTAGGAATCATGCTACGATAAAGTGTTACTGCATCTTCTTTTCCATTACTTTTAAGATGATTCATCATCATAGCTTTGAATTTCTAAATCATAAACCTCTCAAGTATAAAACATTAGTACAATGAGTGATCTCACAGCTGCAGGAACCCACCCCATGTTACAATTCTGTATATGCTTCTTGTTTAATTTCTCGTTAAGAAGTTGCTACATTTTGATAACTGATGTCAACTGTAACAGGTTTTAAAGATCGATGGACGTGTAATTGGTGACGGTACAGTTGGACCAATTACTAAAAGATTACAAAACTCATTCAATAAGCTGACTGAAGGACTTGGAGTGCCTATACCTGCCTATCAGCAACCGGCCTGAATCCTGCAGGTTTGCACTCTATTTATTTTCACAACCTTCCCCCTCCCAGTCTGCTACCACATAATGAACCCCGCCCCCACGACCCCACCCCTGTAAATTATCTATTTGTCTATTATCATCATCACTATATAAATATACATATATATATATATATATATATATAGAGAGAGAGAGAGAGGGGGGGGGGAGGTTTAAGGGAAACCCCCAAAAAAAAGGAATAACCTGATAACCGTTCTTCTGGACAGTATGCACATATGCATACAAGTAGTTGAAGTTTTTTGGTCTCTATGGATGTGTGCATTATACACGTGCACACACATGTGTGAATGTGAACAAATTATTTGTATGCACATGTGCATATCGTCCAGATAAACTGTTACCAGGGTGTTCCTCATTTTTTCATTTTTTTGGTCATTCTTGTTCTTGAGTTTCTTTTTTTGCATAATGTTATATACATCTTCGCATTCATTTTTTTGTCATCGTTTGTTATTTGTCATCTTTTGTGATAACATGGTTTCCTTTGAGCAGGTAAGCAGTCTCAAAATGGTGCAAGAGATCAAGATAAAGCTTGTGGATTGTGAGTGAGTGTGTGTGTGTGTGTGTGTATGATCCTAATAGACCTAATTTAAATCATGTGTTACGCAGGTGAAATTTTTAATTAATAAGATTCTGAATCTTGCATGGTTATATAATCCCATGTTAAAGATTTTGAATCAGAATTTAATCCCATCTTTGGAAATAAAATTGTTGGTTAATATATATATATATATATATATATATTCCCAAAAAAGATGCAAATAGAGAATACAAATAAAAAAGCTACTTGTCGAAATTGAAGAAGCTTTTATTTTACGTAGAATCAGTGCTTGCGGGTATGGTCGTCTTGATTCAAAAAATTTGTTGTGAATCAGGGACGGACCAATAAATTTCTTCAAACGATGGCATCGTTTGACTATAAGAAAAAAATATAAGGAATTTTTTTTTTTCAAACAGTGACATCGTTTGACTATAAGAAACGAATACACATAATTTTTTTCAAATGGTGGCATAATTTGACTAAGAAAATGACACTAACATGATTCGAACTTGGGTTTGGGGTGGAATAAAAGTCTTGCAAACCAACTCTACCAAATAAAACTTGTTCTCATTATTTTGCTTTCAATGTCCAACTTGTACAGCTTCCGATATATCTCTTGAGTGTTTTACATGACACCACCTAATAGCACCATTTGACTAAGAAAATGATACTAACAAGGTTCGAACTTGGGTCTGGGGTGGAATAAAAGTCTTGCAAACCAACTCTACCAAATAAAACTTGTTCTCATTGTAGTTTCAGAATATATACGATGGCACACAACAAATTAATATGGTTGCACCTTTCATAAACTATTTTTTTATCCTTCGATGGAGGAACATACCACCGTATGCGCCACTACAGATCTGTCCCTATTGTGAATAGAAGCATTTATTTTTTTCATATAACTCGGTAAATTAAATTTACTTTGCCTAGAATACAATTATGATTAATTTATAAAATTTCGCTTGTTTTATATATTTACCACCCCCCCCCCCCCCCCCCCAAAAAAAATACCTCTCTTTCTACCAACTCAGGGGCCATTTACCAAACACTTACTCGGTAAGCGTTTACCGGAAAAATTAACACTATCATTTACTTACCGAGTAAGATTTTAGTCCATCAGAGGAACATCATATGCAACAATTTACCCGGTAAGCATTACCGTGGTAAGAATCGTTGTACTCACTTACCGGGTAAGACTCTTGGTCCTTGTCTCGTTCTTACAGGGTAAGATTCTTGATCCTTACCATATTCATCCGTTAATATAATGTGATTTGGTAAGCATTTGGTAAACGGCCCCTAAGACATTTTCTTTTGAAAGTTGAGAAGAAAAAAAAAGGCAACAAATTACAACAGAAAAGGGAGCTCATTGCAAGGTGAAGCAACCAATCAAACTAAAGAAAATGGAAAGATTAAGAACAAAATTACAAAACCAAGAAGACTAAAAAGAAACTACGAATAATCCAACAAAATAAAAACCTTTGGCGAGAAATGAGGAGCTTATTCAGAGGTTTGATAAGGATCCAACAATTCCGATAGATAAAAATCTTTACGAGATCTTTGAAATCCAATCATATACCGGCAAATAATGCCTCCATGGTTGTTTGTTTACCTCTTAATGGTTCCATTAAGAGGCAATCTCTGAATCGTTAAGAAATGAATCTTGTTTGGCAAAAAAAAGTCTGTCTCTCAATTGTTCTAAAACCCTCTGAATGATTTTGTATCATGCCCCCCCCCATTGACCATTAAGAGTCCTAATTTCATTGTAAACAATTATATTTCATTTCGCACAATATCATGAGATCCTCTTAATTATTCTGACCACTTAATGATTCTGCACAAAACCATTCAGCAACTGCTAAACAGCCCCATATTTTTAAAAACTGTGTTATTTTTATGACACTCATTTTTATGTAATTTTTCTTTTTGAACCTGTATTCAATACTCAAAAAATAATTAAATGTAACTTTTGACCGTTTATAAAATGCCTAAATAAGATGGTCGTTAAAACAAGAAAATCAAAATGGTGTTTTTTGTGATTAAAAGAGCATTAATTTGTTATAATAAAACTTCCAAGATTTTCTAAAAAGAAACTTTACATTTTACATCCAAAAAAGGTTATTATTATTAACGGACAAATTGCATGAAAAAATATTTTAACTTGATTTCTATTTTGGGTAACGTACTTTCAAAACTTCTATTTTGGTATCTAAGATGTAAATGGTTAAACATTTAAGTACACAGGTAAGCGATTGAAGCATTAACCGGTTATCATGCGGATGTGACGAGTGATGTGACATCCAACTCAATATTATTTGCGGACGTGATCAGTGACATGGACTTTTTCTAATATATAATTAGTTTTCAACCGATTATCAGGGTACTTAAATGTTTAAAACTTTACATTTTAGGTACCAAAATGAAAGTTCTGAAAGTACGTTACCCAAAAAAGAAATCAAATTAAATTACGTTACTTTTTCATACAATTTATTAAAGGTATTTTCGTTTGCAAAGAAAAATGCATGCAACTAAAGACCCAACATCACTACCCATCGTGTGAAATAATGCCATCGTCCGCTTTTGTGCCCACAATGGGTTTACACATGATCTTAGACCCCAGACTCACCCTTCATGGACGAACCTGAAGTGTTTTAAATTCACAACCTTTTGGAAGTTCTGACATGTTTTTATGCATTTTTGTATAAAGTGCTATTCTTCCTTTTTGTAACTTTACCAGATGAGATTCTAACCCATCGAAACAACATCGTATACAACACTTTACCCCGTAAGCACATACCGCGTCAACCTCTCTTACCGGATAAGACTCGATCTTTACCATATTTATCCAGTAAACACTTACCGGGTGTACGATTGGTAAACGGCATCTTAATAAAAAAAACCTAACAACTGACAGAAAGTCATGTATGACAAGAAGGAGCTGCAAAAGTGCAAAGAAAAAAACATCAAGTAGATTAAATCATATGACGATTCTACAAAATCCGCATCTGTAACAAGCTTTATGACATCAGATTCAACAATCCCACTAATACAACCCAACATGACACCAGGAATTCAATCCCGGCCGACCAAACCTTGATCAACGGTGCGCTGCATACATCTGACTACTGTCATACTGACCATAACCCGCTTGTGGTTGTGGCTGCGGCTGAGGTTGTGGCTGTGGAGTTGCATAACCACCAGCTTGAGGTATAGATTGGTCATACCCAGGTTGAACCGGAGCCGGTTGAGAATAAGCAGGCTGAACCGCAGGTGGTGCACCATAGGCCATTCCTGGACCACTGGCATACGCTGGATCTGGTGCACCTTGGTAACCGTAACCTGCACTGCTTGGAGCCACTTGTTCACTGTATCCAGATTGTGTGGAAGGGTACTGACCATAACCAGTGGTGGGTCCGGCCTGAACATAACCTGGTGCCGCTGCCTGCTGTGGCTGGACACCAGTCTGAGCATATCCAGAAACAGGTTGACCACCTTGCTGAGAATAACCCCCCGTGGCTGTGTACATATCGTTAGCAGCAGGAGCAGTGCCATATTGAGGGTAAGCTTGTGGCGGCATTGGGCCGCTAGATGCAGGGTACGGCTGTTGTCGAGGCTGACCGTAAGGCTGAGCATAGGGCCCCTGTTGTGGCATGTTGTACGCTAGCAGCTTACCATACTGATCCTGCTGACCATAGCCTGGATGAGCGGTGTTTGCTGGAGGGTAAGTTGACGGCTGAGTCCCTTGTCCTCCATATGGATGCTGAGCCGGCCCCTGGTGGTCATATCTGGTTTCACCATAACCTTGACTGTAACCCTGTGGTGCCGTCTGTGCATAAGGAGCGGGGGGCGGCTGCTGCCCATAATCTGGACCTTGTGGTTGTCCATAATTATAATTTACTTGAGAAGGCGGGCCCATTGCAGAGCCAGGAGGATGGGAATGCATTGGTGGTTGTGCAGCCGATGCCGCCATATGGCCGCCCTGCCCACTATAGTAGTCATAACCAGTTTGTTCAGGAGGCCCCTGCATGTTCGTTGGAGGTCTTTGGTCCCAACCAAAATTGTTTTTTGGTGGTGGTGGTGGTTGTTGTGGGGGATAATTACCATAACCTTGTGACGAGTAGGGTGGATTCTGAGATGGATACGCTCCACGTGGTGGATAGTTATACCCAGATGGTGATGGGTGACCTCTGGGTCCCCAGTTGGGTCCAGGTCCACGAGGACGAAAGTTCTGCTGCTGATTATTACCACCTCCTGATGGGGTTGATGACCGTATAGGCTAATTTGAAACAATCAACAACAAAGACAAAAGGGAAAATGGGAAGTCAGTATCACATTATCTAAAATTAAAAAAAGAACAAAGAACTAAATTTGAATCAAAAACCAAGTGTCAGCTTGTTATGAAAAGTAATTATAACCGAGATAAAATGCAACACCTAAAAGGATCAGAAAAAGGCACAGATCTGGAAACAGAAGAAACAACACATAACGAGAATAATAGGCCATCCGCTTAAAGATGACTGGCATGAGTTCATACCAAAATACAACACAGTTACATAAGTGCATGATTAGAGATGTATAACTCAGTCAATGACGATAAACCTTTTAAATCAAACGGCTTAACTCGTCTAAAAACATAGCCCAAGATACACACAAGAAAGCATAATAAAAAAAAGAATACAAGTAAACAGATAGACCCAATCACGCCTAATTGTTTTTCAATATAGAACCATACCACACTATTCCCTATTCAATGCTGATTGTTGGTAGTCATATCTCCAACTAAAATTAAAAGGCGATCATATATATATATATATATATATATGTGTGTGTGTGTGTGTGTGTTATATATTGTTTACATCTAACAACAGATATGATGTAATGGTTCTGCTGGAGCGAACTTTAAACAGTTAGAAGAACTAGATACAACTTCGAAGATAAGTAAGAGAATGGCAAATATAAGCACAATATCTAAACTTCATTGGATATTTGAGCAGGAATAACGTCCAAAGCTTAATGTTGTGTTTAAGTAGAGGATCAACCCAACACGCAACTGTATAATCCATGAACGTAAATATCATCGTGCATACTGCGGAAAATCAGTCATCAAATTTGAATAGATAACTTGGTAAGGTGTAAGTTATGCTTGGATACCATGGGAGAAATTAGAAGTGTTATTGATTCAAATGCAGAAACTTGCTCCTCTCCTAATACCACACGCTTCATTTCTAAAGAAAGAATCAAATCAGGAGCCAACAAACCATGGATGCTTAACAAGGTTGAAACATAATCTTTTATGGAGGCATGATACTTTCTTCCAACAAATATCTCATGCATAGAACAAGGGGATGTGGATCAGCACTATGATGACTAGCATAAAATAGTCATTACTAATACTAGTATTTATGGATCTTTGAGTCTTGAAGCAATCTTACCAACTATTAACTTCCTTCAAAAGCGAGGGTTAATGCGTGATACCTTTCCTCAGTAGATGAGAGTGAATAGTGGTTGTTTATTGCTACACCAAGAAAGCAATGCTGACCCGGTGTGAGAAGAAAAAGCCAAATCTGCATTTTTAAAGCCAACCAATTCGAAAATGGGCACCTTCAAAATAAATAAATCATCGCAACCCACATCTCATTTTGAAATCAACAAGTGACCATGGCATGATTCATGCATCATGTTGTAAACGCTGATGAGCTTACAAGTAATTTTGCTCCCACCCTATTGTACGGTTACCTAAGATTCCTTTTACACTGAATAAAAGGTGCTGAACAATCAGGACAACATATATTAACCATATAACGATAATTAGGCTACTACCAACACTGCTTGATACTCAAGAAGCTAGATGTCACTACAGAACCGATGGCAAAAACTAAAAACAATTTGGTGTCACGGACCAATATCTAGCATTGAATGAAGAAATAAGACAAAATACAGTACTATTACGAGTTTACCATCAGCATATCCATATACTGGTAAAACTTGTTAAGGGTATATTTCAGCATACAATGGTACCTCACCTTAGCAGACTCAACTACGCATCCTTAAATTATTTACATGCTAATAAATGTTGTTGATGTATTAGCTAACAAGATTAGATGTTAAAACTATCAGGATAAACTGGAGTGCACAATTCTAGCCCAGATGTCCTATAATAACAAGGTACATTAACATGATTTGAACTGCTTGGAGAACATACAGTTTCAAAAAGTACTAATAGGTCAATATTGACAAATTACCAATTAAGACTTAAGATCTAAATAAATAAATCAACAGTAAATTAACCTTTTAGTTATCAGAAATACATTTCCGAATATGAATGGTTTCTCAAGGATTGGCATGAAGAATTTGACTAGAGAACAGGAATCGAAAATCAAAACCAAAATGATTCCCCCTACTTAACAGAAGTCCAGCTATGAAACTAATATCTTACGAGAAACCACTAATCACACAACAAAGATTGAAGGAAAATTCAAGAACTAGTAGAAAAACATTATTCAAGAATACCAAAAATGCCTACAATTTAACATAAAAATTAGTAAACCAAAAAGAAACCATATTGCTGTTAGTTGCAATTCTTAACTCAAAGATAAAGGATATGTATGTGAACAAACCTGGTCCATCACTTCCTTAATCATTTCCTTTGCAGTCTCAATCTGTTTCCTATCACCGGTGACTCTCACAGTTCTTTCTTTAGATTGGTCACCCTCAGGAAGATGTTGTGGAATCAACTGCAGCATGTGCAAACATCAATATACATGCAGGACTACATCAAGTGAATGCATTTGATTCAAAAGAATTTACTCCAAATGCATTTGTACTCGTAAGATTTTGTGTTTCAAGACATTTACAGAAATCAATGGCCCAAACATCTCATATACTACCTGAATGCGAGCTCCAGATCGTGTCTGCAGGTTTTTTATAGTCTCTCCACCTTTGCCAATGATGACACCAACCTATGGTAGAAGAAAGATTGCAAGAGTTACAAATATACAGAGGTAATTGACTAAGAGAGCATAGAATGGCCAAATAACCTTGTCATTTGGAACTTGTATTTGAATTTGTTCTCCAATCCCTGAGGAGTGGACACTAAAACCTCTGGCAACCAAAGAAGGGGAACCACCAGCATCAGCCTGTAAGATGAAAACTTGACCTCAACAAACACAGGAGATGTAAATTTAAAACAAAAATGACAATGCTTGAAAAGAAAAGATTGTATAAGATATGAAAGCAGAACAAAAATGAAGATAACATTACATTAAGAAGGGCTCAAGTAAGGGACTTGAAAGCAAAACAAAAGTAAAGAAAGCATTAAATAAAAAATATCACACCTCTGCTATAACATCTTTTATCAGCCTCTCAGCCTTGTTTATATTCTCTATGGAACCTATTAATTCTACAGGCCTAGTAGCCGAATTTGGATCAGCCTCAGCATCACGTGTGATTTGAATTCTTGCCCCCGAGCTATATTGCAATGTTCTGATAGTGTCTCCAGCCTTGCCAATTAGGACCCCAACCTGCACCAAATCAAGATCCATGTAGCTCAATTAGAAATGGAAAGACTAATTTGATTGGTCAATGCAAAAAAAAAGGAAAAAGACAAAAAAACTAGATAAGTTGACTGTTTTCTTTCTTAACTATTTTGTTCTTTTAAAGAAAATAGATAATAAAAAGTTGACAGATTCAAACTATTCCCAACCATTAGAACCTCCAACATTTTATCATGCCATACCTTGATTTAATTATATCTCTATTTAAAATATTCGACATTAAATACTCTACAGACAAGTGTGCACAAAATAGTTAGCCACAACATATTGAAGAATGATATCATAACTACAATCGAGGCATCAAACGTCGAAAGAAGAAGACGTGAATGGTTTTAGAAAATCCCCTCCATCAACCACTTGTAGGTACTGTTTGATGTTTCAGAAGCCTAATGCTGGGGTTCACAAGCCCAGAACAGATCCTTATTTAGTGTTTATTTTATGTTCAATTGTGAGGTTTTAAAGTGATTGGAGTTCTATAATTAATAACCAGAGATTCAAGCTGGTTGGACCGTTAAGGTTAATCCATTTTTTTTGCTCTCTGAGCAGAAACGGATTTTCTTTTTATTGCAAAAAACAGATGGGACCTCAAGATCAGACTCTTAAATTATTGATAGAAGTGCAACAGATGCCTTCGGTTATCTTGAATGTGATGCAAAAAGAATCCAAAATATATGATATTTAACTCACCTTATTACTCGGAACCTCCATCCTACGTGAAGTAGGTTGGTCAGCAGACGTAGGTTGGTCCTTCAAACTAGACACATCCCCTTGTGGAGCAACATCTGAAGGGGGATCCTGACGTTCTACTCCGGATTCCTGATGTTCCACTTTATCTGATTCTTCAGGATTCTCAGCAGATGGCAAATCTATGGCATTTGCATCGGGTTCATTAGTTGCAGATTCTTTGTTCACTGTGTCCAAGGGTTCAATAGGTTTTTCTTGACCCTCCTCTGACTCGGCATTCTTCATCACAGCCGATGGTTCAGTAACGTCTTCCTTTGGTTCCTCTGCCGTTTCCTCCTGATGCCCATTCTCGGTCGCTTCAACTGATCATATGAGAGAAAAACAAGTAAGAATACCATATCACTCAAATTATATAACAAACCCCACAGTTTCCAACTGAGCACATAAGTGGGTTCACATTCACATAAGTCGGCTGTTGGCATGTGTGTGTATATATTTTGTGCAGCCACTACAGTAAGAATAAGAGAAAGAGAAAAATCAATTAGTTGGCATAAATTTTATTAATATCCTGCCACATGGATGAGAGCCCCTCTTTGAGAATCCTAATGGAGCTGCATTGAAAATTTTATTCATTACACATTGCAAATTCAATCATCTGACCCAACTACCAATATCAAAACCATCTAACTTCATCCACACATGAATCATTCTGTCACTTCTACTTTCTATCAAACCATTAACTGAAGAAATTTTGAGACGTCAATATCTAACATTCTACGCACTTATTTGAGCCACTATAGTGGTGGTATTGCATCCCAAAGCCCTCTGTGTGGCGACATGGGGGAAAAAAAAAAGAATTCTCCGTTCAGTTCTCCGCCTTAACGACAGAAAAAGGAATTGATCAAATTTTATATGTTCACGACTATGGAATAAATAGCGAGGCAAAATAGCTGGAAGAAATTTGTGGTGCCAGCATGCTGCTAATAGTAGCGATAATTACCACTATTTACCACGATTTGGAGGTGAAATGGTGATGCTAAAGGTGCTATTTTAGTGGTAGTTGATTTATTATTTCTAATGAAGTAATACACCAAGAATTGACAAGCCTTTAGGTGTAGGCTAGTTAGTGTTGAGCTCAAAGTCGATGGGATCTTTCTCTTTTTTTCAAGACCTAGGTACTTTTAGGTTGTCACCACTTATGTTTGTTCTTTCATTCTCTCTCGATGCAACTTCTGTTCATTCTTGCCATCTCCCTCATGGCCTCACCTTATCATTAACATCTACGGTGTATATATAAATAATTGTATTTATTATATGAAACTAATATATATGAACCTAATCTATATATATGTTTTATATGAGCCTAATTCTTTTACTCTTATACCACGCTTTACCAATGTGATAACCACTATATCAAATCACAACGCTAACTGCTTAAGTAATATCCATGTCTCATCAGCTTACTCGTTGATTCAAAATACCCACTATTTAGTGACTTGCATGTTATCCCAACTCTGACCACTACCATCCATATCTCTCATGCAAACCACTCACCATGAATAACTAGCTTAATAACACAAATGATTATGCATGTTTAGACGTACAGAAGTGAGTGTAGAAGTAGTAGGTGACACTTCCTATACGGAGAAGGATAAAGAACCACAAATGGCGCTTAAAGATTTGCTTGACAGGATTTTTATTTGTTACTTTTCCTTTTTTCTATTTTTCCATCAAGCTAATAATGGTCATACTAAAGCTAAATCCCACATTAGTACCTGACATATCAAAAACGAACTAAAAATGAAACGTGTGAATTGTGTAAACAAAGCCACCATGACTTTGGAACAAAATTTGAATTAGAAATCAAGAGCAATGATGAAAATCATGTCAAAGAAACCATTATGGTAATTAAGTGATGCTTTCTCTTCAAAAGAACTCACAATGTGCCGTCACATTGGCCCGTCCTATAATCTGTTGTCACTCTTAAATAAGACAACCTGATTTTAAGATTTCCCGGCGAAAGTATTTTTCAAAGCATACAAACTATTGTCACGCATCATTATGATTCTAGACACTCAAAAACTTAACAGGCGTCATGCGTATGTAACCACGAACTCATTCTCCATGACGTAGAAACCACCATTAACATTAAACCGACAACGACATAAACAAAATCATACCAAAACCGTCTGTGTTGTCATCCAGACGAGGTCGTTTCACGTCAGGATCTTCCGGAGAAATATCGGTAGGAGCAGCATCACCGTCAGCGTCAGCCACCGACTGCGAATTGCCATTGGAGTCGGCAGAAACCGGTGGTTGTTCGAAGGGTTCGCTATCCAAATCATCAAGCTTCCGTTTGTGATCGGACGGAGCAGGGCTAGCTGAGCCCATAACCTCTTCGTCCGCCATCGCAGCGTAGATCCGACTTCTTAGGGTTTCAGTAAGGGTTTCTACGATGGGTGCAAGTAGTCTCTTCTTTTTCTCGTCACGAGATGATCCGGTGGCTATTTATACCCACGGCCCTCGGATAAAACGGTTTGCATTTTGGTCCCTTGGTTAGGGTTCAATAAATACCGGCCCAATTGGATCATCATTCAGGCCCATATTACTTATTGGATTGGGCCCATAAAAAGTAGCCCCGTAGCCGACCCGAATCCAGTCCCGTCCCCAGCCCGACTTTTAAAAAATTATTTTATAAATCTTTTTTAGATAGGCATGTTTTATAATTACGATTTTTGAAATTTAGTATGTATACTTTTAAGAGATCGTTTATCAAACATTTATCTGGTAAGTGGTTACTGTGTTATTACTCTGCCGGATAATATGGGAAGAACCGAAAATCTTAAAACCAACCTAACCTGATAGCAACTAATTGGGCGGTTGAAATACCAAACAGTTAGCTGCTAACAAATATTGACATTGATAAAAAAAAATTAATAATCTTAATGAACAAATTGAAAAGCGGTTTCATAAGGACATTTTTAACTATTAAAAAGGTATTCCAGAAACACTAAAAACATCTTCAATATTATAATAATAATAATAAAAAACATCTTCAATATTATAATAATAATAATAAAACAATGTATGTATTTATTATTATACTATTTAAGCTACTAGTATATATATACTAGTTGTGTACCCGCGCAATACAGCGGGAGCCATGAATTTTAACGATTTTAAAGTTTCATTGGTTTTATAAGATAAGATTTAACGATGATATAAGTTACACTTGGTCTTTACATACTAATACAATTTGAATAAATAAGAGTTATGGTTTCAATTACAGACTATCGATGGAAAAAATTGTATGACAGTTTAAAATCCAATATATTTAAAATCCAACATATTTAAATGACTCCACAAATGTGTTCGATTTACACCAAGAGCAAAGAACCAAGAAACTTGAGTTTTAAGATAAACACTCAAAACCAATAAAGAAAACTACAAATTTGACAGATCATAAGCCATGAAAAGACAAAAAAAGATGGGTTTTAGAATTAAATTTCAACTGCGTACATCTATATATATATATATATATATATATATATATATTTCAAAAAAACCCAAGAACATATTAATTCAAAACATATTGTACAGTGCAATTTGGACAGCCTAACCCCAAAATATATAGTATATATATAAATAAATAACTATAAAAGTGTAAATCGTAAATATTAAAAATATTTTTTCACAGTATATATAATAATATAAATAAGTCAAAAACTACTCAATATTGGACTCATTTCGAAGGTATTAACGAGACGATTATAATGGTGTAACTTGTTAAAATAAAAATATATTTTTTAAACATGTTTTAATTGATATATAATTATGTATGTTAATTTGATAAATGTTTAAAATGAAACATTTAAAAGTAAATGACGTAAAGTAAATTAATTAACTAATTATAGGGGTATAAAGTGTAAACTTAAAAATTATAATTTAAAATAATTCTTATGAAAGGGTGAGTGTATGTGAGGGAGTGAGTGTATGTGAGGATAGGAGGGGGTGAAAAAGTGAAAAAATAGTATAAAGGGTATTTTGGTCATTTAGTATATTAAGACTTTAAAACTTTTGCTAAACTTGCTTAATAAGATAGTATATATACTAGTAGTGTACCCGTGCAATGCGGCGGGAGCCATGATATTTAATGATTTTGAAGCTTCAGTGGTTTTGTTAGAGGAGATTTTAACGATTATATAACTTATATTTGGTCTTTACATATTAATATAATTTGAATAATAAGAGTTATGGTTCCAATTACAGTCTATCAATGAAAAAAATTATGACAATTTAAAATCCAATATATTTAAACGTCTTCACATGTGTTTTTCAATCTCGATAGTTAACCGTCTTGATATCGTTGCTTTAGAAAGAATTTTTTTTTATCATACGAATCTTGGAGATATATGGCAAACTTTATTTATTCACAACCTTGATGCCTACCCATTTCCATTTCATCATCATGAAAACTATCTTTTTACGCAAATATACAACCACCGGTACATTAAGGACACTATACACCTAGGAGAAGTTGTATTGCCGTCTTTGCAAACGTTTAATACACTATTAAACCTTACTTTTACAACCATCAATATAGGGTGTCAATGCTAGGAAAATGGTACATTATTTGTCATTGTCAACATAACAACCATTGGATGAGATCGGTCTAGAAATCAATTTTGCCTGCAAAATACCATATATGCATTGCAAGACTACCAAAAGACAGCTAGAGATGATAACCCATGAATCATCCCAACCTTCTTGTTCGTTGTTGCTAGCTTCAAGTTCACCTTCTCCGACTTATTCTCCAATGTTCTACTCCATCTCCACCTTGTGTCTTTGCTTCATCATCTATAACCACAAATACGTCAACATTAAAAGCCACAATTAACCTATGTTCAAGAAAGCCCATTCTCCTAATGATCTAAATTCAATAAATCTTTTACAAATCCCACAATTTTATAATTTAGATGTTTCCTATAAAAAATTAATTGAAACCCTTTTCAAAATGACCTCCAATTCCAATTCCAAACCTGCAATTCCATGCTCTAGATTGCTACTTTCAGTTAGTGGCTTGTAAAGATTATTTCTTTGGTTTCAAGAATCATTAAATGAAACCCTTTTAAAGTGACCTCCAATTCCAATCCAGAAATATTGCTTCATTGATTTCAGGAATTATTTTGAATCATTAAGTGAATCCCTTTCCAAAAATGACCTTAAATTCCAATTCCAAACCCGTAACTCCATGATCTAGATTGCTACTTTCACTGAGTTGCTTGTAAAGATTGTTTCTTTGATTTCAGGAATCATATTGGCCCCAATTATATGTGCTATTATGGCCGTTATAAACTCCGCTAACGCAATCGGTCTCTGGCCTGCACATCGCATGTAACAATTTAGTCCACCAAAAYGACATTGCATGTAACAATTTACCCTGTAAGCRCTTACCGTATTCATCCGATAAGTTAATGTRACTTGGTAAGCGCTTACTCGGGTTAACGTTTGGTAAACGGTCCCTAACAGTTGTTCATTTCACCCTTATTCCAGATAAATGTCTAATTCACACAAGGCTTAATGAAAACAAAAAAGAAAAACAAACATTCACTCAGTCTCGTGGATATTAAYTGTTCCTAGAAAAAAWTCAAGATTAGTTAAGTAATATGCCAAAACTATTAAATGTGATACTATTAATCAAAATATTTYGCAAATATAATCACCTACCTTAATTAGCATTTGTGATACAAATGATCTCCTGAACAACAAATAGTAGTTATGGACTTGTGTATGATTTCAAAGCATGCAGATAATATTTTCATTTGCATKTTTTTGTGATATTTGAATCCTTGCCCTTGGCAACATGTTTTTATTGAAGAAGTTTAAAATGGTTTTTTCTGTGATTCAAATTGTTCACATTCAGCACAAAAAATAAACTAACGGGCCGTTTACCAAATACTTACCCAGTAAGTGCTTACCGGTAAAATTTAACACTACTATTTATTTGCCGGGTAARATTTTAGTCCACCAAAACGACATCGCTTGTAACAATTTACCCGGTAAGCGCTTACCAAATACTTACCCAGTAAGTGCTTACCGGTAAAATTTCACACTACTATTTATCAGGGCATGTTTATGAAGCAATTTAGAAGTGAGCATGAATACGCAACAACAAAGTCAATAAGATGAACACCACCRTATTTTAGAGCTCTTCACAGGGACATGATTTTCCAAAATAATCAAGAATATGTAGTGATGCAAATTACAAGACCATGATTAAATATTATTCTGCTAATGAATATCCAAGCTAACCAACAACTTTTTCCTTATCCAAAATGGTTTAAGTAATTAAACAAGCGAATCCCTAATAACAAATGGTTTAAGTAATTAAACAAGTGAATCCATAATAACAAACATAATATAGCACACCTCCTGGCTCTACTTGTTATCAAGGTTAATTCATATAGTGAGGTCTATTGCATCATTATTGGTTGCAAATCACGTCACTGTGAAAGAACTCTAAAATGTGGTGGTGCTCATCTTTTTGACTGTGTTGCTCTTGCGCAAATCGATTGCAAGCTTGTCAAAAAAGAAATCTAAAAAAGAAGTCGATACCTCAAATCGATAGCAAAATCGATACCTCAAATTGATAGGAAGAGTATGAATCGGAAAACTACATAAAACCACACAAAACTTAGAGTTATTAATATTCAAGAGTATGAATTGATAGAAAATTACAGAACACTACACATTTAATTATAACACCGGATTCATTGTTGTGTATTTCCATCGAAAGAAGAAATTAATTTTGACTTCTACAATTCCTTTATGTGTATACACAGATCTTGGTGTATTTCTCTTGCTCATTTAACCTTAAGTGGATTATATGTAAAGATAGGGACCATACTCATTTAACTTCCAAAAAATTGTAACTAAATTTAAGCAGTTTTAATCAGATTATTGGAYAATTTTTTATGGTTGGATGGCAGTCTTGTGGGCTCTAAGTAATTGTCGACACCACATCTAGTTTCAAAAAAGCAACCAACACATTTCATGGTTTGGAATACCCATTTTCATTGGGGGGGAGTGTGTGTGCAGTCTTTATTCATGTATGGAAGAGTGTAGAGACTAAAATAATATYRATTTCAAGAAGGCAACTAMTACTAWTCRRTAGAAAAWTYRATTTCAWSAAAGCAACTAATACTATATTACTCAATRGAAAGCAACAAAAAAGTAATCGATAAAAAAATCGATTCCGAGATGGAAAACTAATTACCTCGATTGATCAATTTCGGTAGGTGGAGACTGAAGCAAGAACTATAAACCCATAAGTCACTGCAGACCATTGAAGCAATGTAGTACACTGCAGACCATTAAAACATGAACAAATCCAKACCATAGATATACCTGGCGCTCTRGAATTTAGGCATTTCAGCTAATATATCCATTAGAGCTGCACCTTTCCTACTCAATGCAAAGTACTCAAYTGYTCTTTGCTGTATYTCAGCATTAATGCAACTTTCATATMTGAAGAGATGAGAATTTGTGTTTAAAGAGACTRTGAATTCATAATTATAGCATGAAATGATCTCAAGCAATTGTAAACAGACTTGTGGTATACTGCCCAAATTTGATCAAATAGMGATTGTTGGTGTTYTGAACAAATAAGCARGTCTTAGATGATTACCCGATAACAATCACATGGATAAAATCATAATCAAGAAGATACTTTACGATACAGTAGGAAGCTTCTCATGTATGATGCCAAAAATCTCCTTTGGACTACAACCARGTCTTCTRGCCAAAAGGTGGTTGTACTCTCCAAGCAGATAAGCACTAACCTGTTCAACCAAGAAACCCCATTTCGACATGTCTCAAAATTGATCTTAGCTAATAGAATAGAAGTTGGACTATTTGTTCTTAAGTCCTTGCTAAAAGATATTAGTGATGACATTGAGTTCTGTTTCAAGCTAGCCAAAGAAGAATCAGTGATCCTTCTTCCAGGTGATAAGCACACAACCTATAATAACTCTTGCAAGATGCATTAAAGATTTGTACAATGTGCATAACAAGAACAAAAATACAAAGAAGTTAACAGAATCTCATATAAATAAAAACTTTTCTAACAAAATTCATTCAAAGACAAAACATGAATGACATTCATCTATAAAAGATTCATGACGACCCTCAAAACCCTAAAATCTTCAACCGGATGAAAAGATGGTAAATGCTACATCAATGTACCAACCCATATAAAAAAGATCAAATACGAAACTTCGTACCTCAAAATCTGTATACTGATAGTAGCAAATTCTCGAACTGCAAACAGAGATAACATAAATCGAAATCTCTTTTCATCAGACTCCAGATCTCATCCTTATAAATAGCAAATTCTCGAACTGTTGGAACCGATKAARTGGGATTGKGTTTAGGGATACGCAGATTAGGGATGGCRGTGGTTTAGATAGAAATCGAACTGTTGGAACCGATKAAATGGGATATGAATGGCGATAGAAATGGGATATGGATGGCGATAAAATTGGAATTGGAATTCGAATTCGAATTGGGATTGGGTTTAGGATACGCAGAGAGGGCGGGGTTTAGGATAGTATGCTTTAGSAGGTTGTACCTAAAGCAATAGAAGTTGTTTTTAAGAGTTTAAGAGTTTAAGAGATTAAAAGTTTTAGCCAAATGCATTATAAGATAGTATATATATATATATATATATATATATATAATTACAAAAGTTAAATAAAATGTTAATATATGATTATAAAGGTCTAACCGGCCAACATTTTTTTAATCTATTTTTTAGTGTTTTAATGTCGGGTTAAAACACCCCATACTTGTGTTTTTTTATCTATTTTTCAGTATTTTAAGGGGTTGTTTGGGATTGCTTACTTAAAATCCTTATTGACTTACTCTAGTGTGATGCCGATAATAAACAGTTTTTAATGTTTTGAAGGAAAAAATAAAATGCTAATATCGGTGTTAAACCGATAATAAGAAGTTTTTAATAAGTCAGGGGTATGTTCGGTTGTATCTTTATGGGTTGTATAACCTATATGGCTTATTCGCTCAGCTGGTGACTTAATCGGTCAGCTAGAAACTGTTACTCTTTTACACTCAACCATGTAATTTCCCCTTGATTTCCTTAATTACCCTTGCAATAAAAAACCCCATTTAAAAAAAAACTCCAATTCACGCTTCCATTCACATCGGAGGCCTGTTGAAGACTTGCCACCATCGCATCGGAGGTTCCTTCCTGTTGAAGACTCCATCACAGGTTGAAAGGCGAGCAACATGTGATGGTTACATAACCTTCCTTATCACTAATCCATCTGACATATGGACCTTCATATGACCACCACTTATCTGTTAATATACAAACAACTAAATCAATACAGACAACTATATCCATACAAGTCTTACTAGAAAACGAACCGAACAACCCATTAATCTATTCTAACTTATCAGTTTTGAAAACCAAATTACCTTCCTAGTCCTAACTAAACTTCTCACCAGATTCACGTACCCCTCCTTCCTCATGAGCGACCATTTCATCAAAAAGTTCCTCCTTCCTCACGACGCGACCTTCAACCAATTCCTACAGAAATCGAATCGACCATTTCCTCCTACATAAATCAAAGATCGATTTCTCCATACACCACTTAATCGACCTTCTTCAGGTAAAATCGAAAATCAAAATAATAGCCTCCATCTCACACTACCACTTAGCCACCGCTTGTTTTCCGCCTAACTAGAGATAGAGACGAAAGGTACTATCAAATGGTCGAGTGGTTCTTTTGGAACCGAGCCGACATCACCCGAAAAGTTTTTTGCGATGACGAGTTGTTTTTGTGGGGTTTGGGACAAAGAGTTTTGCGTGTGGCATTCGAAGAAATGTTAGATGCCAACTCGGAGGGTTTATGAGAGGGTTGTTGCTGGATTTGGTTTGATTTATTCGATCCTCCGACGGTGTCTTTCTTTCGAGGCGCCATTTCTTGAAGAACCTTACTATGTGAATGTGAGAGAGAAAATCACAGTGGCACTATGATGTAGGCATGGCAACGAGGCGGAGATGGGGCGGGTTTTGTAATCCTCGGCCCCGGTTTGTAGTAACGTCCCCCGGCCCCGGTCCCCGGCAAGTACGGGGATTATTATCCCGTCCCCGGTCAAATCTCTAACAATCCCCCGGTCAAACCCCGTAAATAGTATCCTTTATTTTGATTATGCCGGGGATCCTCGCCCCCGGACCCCGTCCCCGGTTTGAGTAACACCCCCCGTCTCCGGCTTCGTCCCCGGTTTGTGTCTATCGGGGATCTCCGGTCCCGGGACCCGTTTTAGCAAGGAATCCCCATCCCCGTTCGGGTCAAGTGAACCGGGTTCCCCACCGGATTAGGGCAAATCACCATCCCTACCATGATGATCGTTGATTTTCTAAATTTTCACTTTTATGGTTATATATATTACCAAAGTGGGTTTCTTATCATCTTTTTTGTTTGGGTTCTCATCTCTAATTTTCATCATCTTCATTTAATAATGTATTTTTTTGTCATTTTACATATACAAATAAAATATAATAAACACTAAAATACAACTTATCAGCTTATTACATTTTAATACCACCGTAGGTTAATCCAAACAATTATTATAAAATAAACGATCCAAACACCTTCCTCTTAAGGGAGTGTTTGAGATTGTTTATTTAAAACAACTTATGTTTTTTTATAAAAATACTTATCAACTTATTATAAATTAAAAGAGTTTAACATCTTCAAAAACTACTCATCACCAACACCGATATAAATTATTTATCCAAACATTTAAAAATACTTGTTTATCCAAGCCGCAACGAAATAATTGAGTAGCCGATCCCAAACGCCCCGCAAGTGCTTTTATACGGTGCAACACCCCATCATCTTCTTCGCCCGAGAGTGAAGTCACAGGCTCACGTGTCACAGCGTTGCATCATCTTCTCTTCCTCCCTTCTCTCATATCTCTGATCATTTCCTCCTTGTAATCTACAAGTATTGAGGTTCCAGGTTCGTTATTTGACGTATTTCTCTTGATTCTTTTGGTATCTTCAATTGTTCTATCCGAAACTAGGGTTTCAACTTTCTATTCGATTGTTCTACATGGAATAAGGGTTTCCACCATCCATGGCCCATGGTTTGTTGCATGTTTTGTTCGGATAAGTTACCGGATCCCTTAAATTAAGCTTTGTATTTCTTTTTAATATCTAGGATGGAACAAGAGGTGATAGAAGCAGAGATGATCTTACCTACCCACCTACGTTTTAAGAAGATTCAGATGCACGAGAAGTACCCAAAAGGGCAAGCTAGAGGGAGGCACTGGAAACACCTCAAGCAGATCATACAAGCTGAAAATTACCAAAATTATCCCGCTGATGAACCAAACTGTGAGTTCTTACGACAATACTGCATCATCCTTCTATCTGTGGAACTCTGAGATATTGATATTTTTACTTATCGCATCATTGTTGGTTGTTCTGTTGCGATAATCTGGACTATGACCATTTGATATACTGTTAGATGCTGGGGTAGGCTGCAAAGAGGTTTCCTTTCAAGAAATTTGGTGAAAGAACTGGAATTATTTAAAATTTCTCGTACGAACTGGCACTGATGTCAAACATTCCAAAATCATATTTAACATAGTAACAGAATAAACATGAATACGTAGTGCAATAGATATTAATTGTGTTTGATTTGACAAGGAAACAAACTATATACTTCAAAACACACACCAGCAGGGGTTTAATACTGAATGCAGAAAAAGACAGGCCAACCTGAAGGTATGTCAATCTATAGCAAAAGAGACCATTATCTTGTTCGCGACTTAGTACTTTCCTCTGGACTCGAATAACCTCGATTGGAATTATGGATGTTGATGATGAGACTTAAGTGAAGGTCAAGATGGCTCAAAAGGACCACACGTGTTTGAAAAATCTCGACACTCATTGCTGGGCATATGTATAGAATTAATTTTGGGATTGGGCGCAGTATGAAAGATCTTTTAGATGCACATATCTCTCCAGGATGTCTGACTGGTTTGTGATGAGGCTCTGAGGTCTGAAGGGGGAAGGCATTGACCATTTGTGATGAAATTGGGTTGAGGTCTTAACATTGCAGAGGAGATACAAAGGGCTAGATTTGTTCTGAAATGGTTTGACACTGGTTGGGGAATGTCAAAATGTTTAAGAAGGTTGGAGACTTGGAATAAATGTGTTTGTGTAAAATATTGTTCATGAAGCCTTCACAGGTTTAAAGAGGATTGGTGAGTATTCGGATATAGCTACCAGGACCATTAGGTGCCAGCGTGGCACTTGTAGGCTCCGACAAATGTTAAGGAATTCCTGGAGGCTTTGATTGCTGAGAAGAAAGCACACCCACTGACCCAAGATGACAGATGGTCTATTGAGCTGGTCAAAGTTGTAGGAGGTGGAAACATAATTTAAGGGGTTGGTAAGGGCTAAGGAGGCTCCAAAAAAATGGGTAAGGTATGTCGTGGTGAGAACGAGAGGGGCTCCAACAAGGCTTGTTGAGGGTTTAAAGTTCGGTTGAAGAGCCTCATCAAGCGCGTTGAAGTTTGTAGAGGCATAATGTCACCTTTGTTTATGCTCACCATTTCGCTTGCTCCTTTTGTTTATGTAGGCAGCTCCCTTCTCTGACACCATGTGAGGGTCTAAGATTAGGAGTATCGTGCATAATTGAGAACTCACGTGATTCAAAATACAAAAATGTGCAGATACTGGCAATAAGCCCAATCTAACCTAATTCTATCTTCTAACAAGAATGAAGCCAACAAGTTTTGCCTGTTTGGATTGCTATGTTGCTCTAGCAGATACCGACAGTTGAAGTTTTGTAACAATAAGTATACGGTACTTGATCATTCACACTATATATCCACAGCCAAAAAAAAACCTTCGAAGTTTAGGAACTCATGGCACAATATCCCAATTTGAATCAAACCAACCCAATGATATTGCTTCATTTTCAATCGAAATGAAGGATGCTCACTTATGTTGCAAACTAGCAATTTGAAATTGATCTTGTCTATAATGGTACTGCCATCTTATTGCTTTTTAGAAGGTGTTCATTTTTGTTAAGATTCAACTAAAATTCTGTTTCTGCTTGCAACATATATCTGTGTCGTAATCTTCTATTCACTTTAAATCATGTTGCAGATGTTAATATCGAAACACCACCCTCGATGCACCCTCGGAAGCACATTTGTGATATAACTGGATTTGAGGTACGGAAATCTTGGATACTGTACGGCTATTTTGTCCACCAAATGTTTGATTTAGGAGTTGATATCGTTCATCATGGATTTTGTCGACATCTTTCTAGTGTTTTTGGCTGTGTTATCTGCAGTAAAAATGATTGAATGATTTTTGAAATGTAGGCACCTTATAGTGACCCAAGAACCCATCTGCGATATGCAAACACAGAAGTCTTCAAACTCATCAGATCGCTTCCTAACGAGTATGTGCAAAGATATCTTGCTCTTCGAAATGCAGCAGTGGTTCTCAAATAATCTTCTCTACTCGTTGAGTTCGTCCCTTTTATTTCAAACTCTGAATTTGATTGGAAGATAACTCCAAGGAGGACGGGAAGTCGGTTTTGTTAGTCTCTACTTACTCTAATTTCGTCACTAGACGTAAATGACATATATAACCTTTTGAAGAAAAACATGTATACGATTGCTACTAACCCGAGACCTGGTGATGGAAAAGTTTAATCCTACAAGACTCGAATATAAATCGTTCCAAGTTTCCGATCAACTGCGTAAATGGTGAGTAGTAAGATCAATGGAGATTGATGTTCTTCTCCCCTAATTTTTGCTGGCATTGCTTTCGTTGCTACGACTATTTTTATCGTTGTATATTATATATAATTTTAGTACGAAAGTATGAAAAATATCATAAAGGAGTATTTTGGTCATTTATCATTATTTTCTTCAAATTCCAAAACTGCATTCTATCAATCAAACATGCAAATTCTAATAAAAAAAACTTATTTTAAATTTCGTTCTAATTCCTTTGATCAATTCGAATTCCACCAGATTTCATTATGCAAACCAGGCGTTACGTTTTAAAGCTTGAGGCCGGTTATGAAGAAAATTCCTATAGTTTCGTTTGTATTATTTATGAATGTACTCGTTGAATTGGGGCTCAAATGCTTACAAATATACCCATATGTAAAGAAATGGGCATTCGGCACCGGTTAAGAGGGACCAGGTAGGTTCCACAACGGTTAGGACCGATTAAAAACGAACCGCTAACCGATCAGGGGTCATTTTGGATCAGCTATGAAAATTTTCTTACGAAGAGTATGCATTAGATTGATGCAAACATTCAAGAATAAGTATTTACCCGATCCACCTTTCACATGCTATATGCCTTCGTATAGTTGGGTACTCAAAAGACCAGTCTGCTTTCGAGAGACCCATGACACCAGCTATGAAGGCACAAAAACACACCGTACCTTAACAACAAAAACACTGTAAAGGTACGGAAACATACCTTCAGAGTCTTTTTTTTGGTGTTCACTTTTTACCAAGAATCAATATCATTTTGTGGTTTTACGGGTCTCATGAAAAATGACTGGTTTCACATAATCTCAAGTCCGTGTACATAACTTCACCATTATCATCAGCCATGATGTAACCAACTTCTTTCAATTGTTCATTCAATCCATCCAACAACTCATATATCTCAAACACCTTACTATTCTTAGTATCTCCCGCCAAAAACTTTCTAAATCCACCTCCAACATCTACCCAAGCACAACCAGGAACCTTATTCACCCCCAATTCCCTCATCAAAACCCTAACTTCAGCCAATTTTTGCCAACACCCACAATCAGCATACAAATTTGCCACCAATACATAATAACCCGCGTTTCTCGGCTGCATTTCCAACAGTTTCTCGGCCGCCAGTTTCCCGATCTCTTTGTTTCCATAAATCCGACACCCTCCAACAACAGTCCCCCACATTGCAGGCGTTGGATCGTAAGGCATTCTCCGGATCATTTCTTCTGCTTTACCCAATAACCCTGCTCTCCCATAAAGATCAACCATACAAGAAAAATGCTCCAATTTAGGAACTAGATTGTATACAGACATCTGTTCGAATAAAGTTTGACCTTGGTCAACAAGAGCCGAATGACTACAAGCTGACAGAACCGCGATCATGGTCACATGGTCTGGCTTTATGTTGGATCTAATCATCTTTTCGAATAGTTCGATTGCTGTTTTTCCATTTCCTTGAATCCCGTAACCTGCTATGAGTGAAGTGTAGGTTACTTCATCTTTTTCGGCTAAAGAATCAAACAGTTTTCTGGCAATCAAGATTTTTCCCGATCTTGCATACATGTCGATAAGAGAATTCCATAGTAATAAGTAATCTTTGAATCCTTCGTGTTTTATAATGTAACAGTGGAACTCTTTACCGTGATGTAGATTTGCAACTCGAGCACAAAGAGGAAGTATGCTTGCTATTGTGACGTAATTTGGCTCGATCCCAGAAAAGAACATTTCCCGAAATAGAAAGGTGGCTTCCTCGGAGTTGTCCCAATGTGCGTATCCTGATATTATGGAGTTCCAGGTGATCACGCTCTTATTTTCGACCAAATGGAATATGATATGAGCATGGTTAAGATCTTTACACCTTGAATACATTGTGATTAAAGCGTTTTTCACATTATCGTAGGCGTGACAACACGTTCGAATAGCCAGACCATGAATTTGTTTCCCGAGCTTTAACGCACCAACGTGGGAACACGCATTTAAACCAGTAATCACAGCCACTGGATCCCATTGATCACCAGAGGCTCTTAATTGAGAAATCAACTTAAGAACTCGCATATAATTACCTGTTTTTAAGTAACCGGAGGCAATGGTGTTCCAAATTATAATGTTTACTTCTACGTTTTCGTTCTGCATACGATCAAAAAGCTCAAAAGCTTCCCTCCACATGCTGTTAGATGCGTACCCGGAGATTATGGAATTCCAAGAAATGCCATCTCTCACAGGCATTTCATCGAACAGCTTGCGTGCAACCTTCAAGTCTCCACATTTTCCATACATGAACACCAACGCATTGTGCACGAACAAATTCCATTCCAATCCCGCTTTCATAATCGAGTCATGAACCTCCCTCCCAAAACCCAAATCAAATTCCTCGCCACAGGCCTTAAGAACAGACGGATAAGTAAAATTATCAGGTATAACCCCTTTCTCCACCATTTTTCGATACATAAACAGACCCTCTTTTCCTAGCCCAGCTCTAACATAACCAGAAATAAGCACATTCCACGGCAGAGGATGTATGATGTTTGAAGTTTCAGTAACAAGATATGCATCATTCAAAAGATTAGAAGCAGAGTAGAATGTGACCAATTTTGGAACCAAAACACGGGATCTTTCAAACCCGAAAGAAACCACATAGGCATGTAATTGTTTACCTTGTGAAATTGCGTTAACGTGCGAACAAGATTCAAGAAGAGAGGCCAATGATTGCAACAAGAAATGAGATGAAGAGACATGGTGGGGTTGTTGTATGATGAGAGAAAAAGTGTAGAATGCTTCTGATAACTTGTTTTGAGTAGCTGATTCTTTGAGGGAGGAGAGAAGGGATGCTAACATGGATGGATTACTGTTTCTAAAAGAATCTCATTTTGAGGGACGAAAGGATATGTAGGTTTATGTGATTAGTTTTTTTACATGTTTTTTTTTTACTTATTTCAGTATGATATCGGTGATAAGCTAAATGCTAGTGTTTAGATGAAAAAGAATAAAATTGCTTATCCCGGTGCCAAACCGGTAATAAACAATTTTTGATAAGTTAATCCTTCATGACTTATGTATTTTGTTTACAGTGTTGGGTTCACATTTAGACGAAGGAAAACTTACTTTGAAATTTGACAGCTGAACACTATAAACGTGAAACAAATTTGAACCTTCATAACAAAAACAATGTGAATGTTGTTTTTACAGTGTTTTCAGCTGTTCTTGCGTTTTCGTAAAAGATACCGTTTTTGTTCGATATTATTTTTCTATCTTCAAATTCCGATGTTACTTATTAGTTGTTATGTCGCTGATTATGTTCATTATAATATAATTAGGAAGATATAACATTATTTAACATGAAGTACCATCCATAACATCTTGTTGATCATCTCGTTACCAAGAATAGATTGGTTGATGGGGTTGGGTTCACGTGAGACCAACCTGTTTTCATGAGATCCGCAAAACCATTTTTTTACACTTCAAACTTCACAACAAAACGCTGCGCGGGGTCCATTTTGGTCATCTCCAGTGAAAAAAATGATGAGAAGTCGAGAACATAACAATATGTAATTCCTCCTAATCTTTTTATTACACGTCAGTCTTACGATGAATCAAACAAACTTTAACATTATTACTAAATTGCTCTAACATTTCATTCACACGAGTCCGATAAACTTTAAACCTACAACCAAAATTCGTAATATTCCTAAAATACGAACTTAGAGACCTTTTAAAATAACGAACGAGCTTTATCTGCTAAAACAACCGTGCCCATAATCCTCTTTTTCCGGTTTGATCTCTACTTATCCTGTTTGCTACGACACCTCAAAAGGTCTAAAATGTAAAATCCATCGGCAAAATGCAACAATCGTGAAGTTTCAAAACACCCGATAAAAAGGATACGTGATTATCAGTCTTCTAAACGACGGGCTTCCTTAATGCCGATAGCATTCTAGGGGATAACAGCAGAATAAATGCCAAAAAGGAACCAATGAATATCTTGATCGCGTATCCGATTGGATCACGATCAAATTGTTGAGAGCTGGTATTGGCTGAAAAGGTTGACATTGGTGTAGCAGAAGGTAAGGCTTCAATAACTGCATCGGCCAGGTCCGTGATGAAGGACGTGGTGCACCCAAGAGCCGGGACACGACCCCAGTTTTCGACACCAGATTTGAGGGCTAACTCTTTGTACTCCATATCTATTTCTTCCAGTGTCTCTATGTGCTCACTTACAAAGCTGACAATTCAAAGGGCAAACATCAGCTTATGTTAATCCACAATATCAACCTTATCTAATTCCTCTTTTCCTATGTCCCAAGCATCCACAATGGAGGTTCTTGTTGGGGTTTTTATAAGAAACTCCACTGCGGGACAAAGGTTCTTGTCCATATTTCTATTTTAGTTCGTCCCAAGATTAATATCTGCTTTCAAAAGTAAGTGTCTACTTTCCAATTCTACACTTAATTATGAGTTGGAGATATTCATTACTCCCTCAATTATTAAGGGTACAATTGTCATTTAGTTAGTTAAAAGTGTTGATAATTACACATTACTAAAATTGTGTGCCTTTTTCATCGTGGACATTTATTTTGGGACGGAGGGAATATATCATATTTGTTGTGTTAAATCAGATAGAGATACTCTACGATATGTAGGATAGGTTATTTAATAGTTGGCAGTCCATGGAACTCTAGACTAGGGTCATGTTTGGCAAACAATAAGCTAGCTTACTCTTTGAGTTTATTGAGAAAGTCCTGTTTGGTTAGCCATAAGCTAGCTTATTGAAATCCTACTTTTTAAGTAGCGTTTCAATAAGCTTCAGGGGCTTTTTTCCACTTCTTTATCCAATTTCTTTTTCAATACGTCCGTTTAGGTCATTTAACCTTGTTATGTACCTTATCAGCTAGTTTTTACCAAACTTTGACTAGTTTATCAGCTAACAACTTGAAACCCTACTTCAAGTAGTGTTTCAATAAGCTTCGGAGGGTTTTCCAAATTTTTTTTTCTAATTATTCCCCTAGTATTTTTCCAAATAATTTTTCAACATGTCTGTGTAGGTGATTTAACATTGTCGTCTAGCTTATCCAACTAGCTTTTACCAAACATGACTAGCTTATTAGCCAACAACTAGCTTTTCAGCCAACGGTCAGCTTATCGGCTAACTTGCCAAACATAGCCTAGGAATACGATGACAGATTGACGGTTCCGTATCGGATTAGAGAGAGATAATAGACAACGGAATTTTCATACTTACCTAACAGGAACTGCAAGAATACTCTTCACACCTTCTTGGCCAAGCTCAACAAGTACTTCATCAGTGTATGGTTTCAGCCACTGCACAGGCCCAACTCGGCTCTAATAAGATGAACCAAAGGGCAGAGCAAAGAGCAGTAAGCAATAAGAAAAACTTATAGACAAGGGGCATAAAGGTCACTTTAAGATGGAGCTGACAGTTTGCATATCGGCTGGAAATCAAGAAATTTTGCCATAAAAGGGAACTCAAATTCTTATAAAAACACCCTCATAAGCATATAACTTGAAATTGCTGACCTGATAAGCCAATCTATGCTTATTTTCAATTCCTCTTGCTTCGAGTTCTTGCATTATCAAGTAGATGCATTCCTCCATTTGATCTTTATACGGATCACCAGCATCCACGACGTAAGTATCTGGCACCCCGTGGGCGCTAAAGAATATCATAACCTACAAAAATACAAATCATACACACTAAGGGGTATCAGGTTGTTTTTCCATTAAGGGCTGTTTTATTGGTTTTCCATTAAATCCTATTTGGGAGGGTTTCTTCATAGATGGAAGGAACGTGTTTTTTAATTGGGAGGGGCAGGTTTGGAAAAACTTGGCTTTCTGCATAAAGCTCCCCCATGAGCTTACTGAATAAGCCACTAACAGTCATGTATAGTCGAATAAATAAGCTGTGAGTTCCATTAAGCTCATTAAGTTGATAACAAATAGGCACCAAGTCCTGTATGGATTAAGCTATATTGTTGTTTGTTTGTTGTGCTGACTAATCAGTATGAATGACAGAAATCCCCGTTCTACCCCTCATAACCCTTCGACCAAATCCAGTTACTGTGGTTATGTTCTTTATTAGAAATCATAGACACAGACCCAAAATAAAATCCATTTATAACACAAAACCCTTCTTAATATGATCGATTCTTAAGTAAGATATACAATGAAAGTTGTAAAACTAGGTTTTGAACCTACAACTCCGAAAAATGTCATGCTTCCACTGATCATGAGAAGATCAAAAACTCTCAACAAAGAAGCTTACCTCTCTAGGTGTATTAAAATTTTGCAACTCCTCCTCAATCAAGTCAGCCATAGACTTGATATAACCATAGCGCTGATACCACGACAGGATAATAGCAACAGGAAGCCTTGACAAAACCTTGTCTTCTCTGCAGGCCACTCAAATATATATATATGTGAGTATCAAAATCAAAGACCTGACAGAAAAGCGATTTGCATCTTCTATGAGTTGAAATCGAGGGTTTACCTAAAGATGTTCTGGAGTGCACGGATACTTGACCCGGTTGTTGAAATAGAAAATTGAGGGTAAAGAGGTAGCACTACGAGTTTTGTGATCCTGTCTCTCTTAATCTGTCATCGGTAAAAAAGAAACATCGCCGTTAACCATTTCAATTGATGCACACTAGATTGAAGCTAAAATACCCTTCAATATTTCATACCGAATTTTAAAGAAATAGGGCAAATGAACTTGGTAGTTCATTACAAAATGAGAAGAGGTGCCTTGAAATAAGCAGTCACAATGAAAAAGGACAATTAAATGGCGTAGATAAGATGACTAAAAATGCAGCATGTTACTGCTGATAATTCATATTCATCCAAAGTTGGAGTTTCAAAACTGTTGTAAAGTTGCACCAAGGAAAATTTGCAGAATCAATACACTATAAGGTCTTGAATTGCAAGTCAAATTTAACTAAATTACTTAAAATGGTTGATAAGTTCCACACTGAAACTGACCAGCCACAGTAGGTCTTCATATGTTCAAACTTCATCCTCATAAGAGTTAAGTCAGCTGATTCCTAATAAATGGTTCTTTACATATAGCATAAAGACCATGGTTGTATGGACAGCTTATTTTCTTATAGCAATCCCGTCTCAAACAACTAACCTCCACATTCATCATGTGTTTTCTATATACGGGAAAACGGACCACTGACCATGCTTCATTTGAATGCATTGTTGCAAGCAAGTTGCAATCCAGTAATTCACACATGAGAGTTACAGACCAAAATTTAAACTAAAAATCATTGACATAAGGAGAACAAAATATATAAGTTGCCTAGCTGATTTATTCTAGATGCTTGCCAGTTTTAGGGATATCGAATATAACTTTATGGAAAGTTCCATATATTTTGGAGTATAGGGAGGAAGGGGGGTTTAATAGCAGAAAACTGGAATCTAATATCACAGGAAGCTTGTAGAAACATCGAAGAACTTGTCATAGTCACATCACCTCAGCTTATATGAAAGAGAAGTTTGCAAATTAATAAGATTTAAAATTTATGTGATGCCTCTCAACTAAACCACCCCTCACGAGAAACAACTTGGTACTTAAAACTTATGTCACTCACTTGCAACACATAGAATATTTATCTCGTAGTTCTACTTGCCTGCTGAGCAGCTTCCTCAGTGAATGGATGCCAGTAACGCATTGCAACGTAGACGTTAGTAGGAAATTTCTTTGCTTCGAGTTCTGATTTAAGAGCATCAGCCTACAACAAACAGCTATAATCATAAATAGAAATGCAGTTTAAAAATCAGATCAAAGTCAAACTAAAGTACAACATAATCAGCAAGCAACATAAGCAAACTTCATTATAACTCTGTAAGAAATATTGATGCAGAGCTTAAGGTTTACATTTCATCTACGAGGGGGCAGATAGTTCTTAGAAATGTGGTGGTCCTTAGGAGTAAACAAACCAATGGGGACTCTTGAAGAATCTTAATCCAAAGATCCAAGTATAACTACAGAAAAGAGGACAAAAATAAAGGCATAGAATGACAATACAAGAGCTCAATGAACCCGTTAATGCAGTGAATCAAACATTGAAATGAAATGTTTTGAGGAATTGAACATGAAGCCAGACATATCTATCAAGAACGGTAGAATCATGAAGGAAGTTAAGCGATACTTTGGGTTAAAAGTTATAATGGGAAAGCGCTGCTTATCTGTAATCCAGAAGAAGCAGATCTTGAGGATTACAAACAAAAAGATAGAATTACAGTTGACCAAATTTTTCATGAAGCCAGTGCTCTGCAAGGTCCAAGGATCTGGTGTCCTTGGGTAGGATGCTGAGGCAAGCCACTGAAGTTTTGTCAGATGGAACAGTTGAGAAAATACTGCAACAATGGGTAGGTTACTGTCATGATGTCACAACAAACATGGAGCACATGGAGAAAGCGAAAATTCTAAACTACAAAAAATCGCGAAGGGGAAATAAGGTACTTTACTTGAAGACTGAAGAAAATGAATTAAAGGTCATGGATACATTCGTTTCATTCTAGCACTCTCGTAATGTATTCTTCGAAATATTGTATATTTATATTAGCATAGTTTGGGTGGCTTTTACTATGAATTAAAGGAGTTCAAAAGTTAGAAATATGTTGGGTCAATTAGGATCATCTTCCTTCTATTTGGAACTATTGTTTCAAACTAATAATATAAGTATATAACTAACCTTCACAAAGAGATTATAAACCACCACATAATACAGAAAATTGAAATAGTAACAATAGCAATCATATTCCAGTTCGGCATATCTTACCTGATCATCTGTTATCTTCCGCAAAGGCGAACCACCTCCAATGGAGGCATATGCTTCTTTACTTTTCGGTGCCCTTAGTAGAGAAATAAGTTGTGCTAAAGGTCGTTGTAGGAATCGGAACAACCTTGGTAGACGGATGATATCCTGTGCCAAACACTAAAACGTTAGCATGAAAGAAATGGAAACTAATTAGCATGGGATCTTTTGATACAAAAGGAATTATTTGTAACAAATACACATACTGGGTCAGCAAATAGGTTATACAAAAAGGGTTGAACATCATGAAGTGTCTCTGGGCCTCCAAGATTCAAAAGCAGTACTCCAACTTTTTCCTCCTCAACATGTGAATGACATTCATTATCACTCAAAGGATCTGTGCATATCCCCACAGAACAAAAGGTTTTTCCAGCTAAACCTCTACTCTGAATGGGGCCATCCAATTTTAATTTCTGGAAGTTGTTGCTGTTTGAACCAGAGTTCCCAGACGCTTCACATTTTGTGTATGTGTGGCTGCAGAGAGGAACTTGAAATTTCCTATGAAACCACACGCTGCAAGTAAAGGAAGTGGCTGCAAATTTTAGATTAATTTCTAATCAACATTCAACATAAAACAATTACGATAATTTCATAACAATTACTACATTGAATGTTGAGACTCAGAGTAAGCTAATGGGTGACTCCTATAAGCCTGGAAGCTATTTGCCATTCAGGAATCACTGAAGAGCATGATGGCATAATAAAAAAAGCTAAGACAATGAACTGTATGACCTCTAAGAATAGCTAAAACACCAAAGCCATATAGAACGCCAAGGGGAAATAATACTAATAGTTTTCTTAAGATACAAATCTTGACATAAAACTTACTTCCATGTAGTGGGTAATGCACAAAAACTCTATACAAAACTTCACAAGTCTAAATCAATCTCCTTCAACAAGCAAGTATAACGTCTGCAGTATCACTAGTCTGAGTATAAAAGCACATTTGAACCAATTCTAGCAAAAGTCGACTAATTTCAAAGAACAGATTCATAACTAAATTTCAATATAAGCATCAATCCTATATATATATATATATATATATATATATATATATATAAAAGACTCAAAAGCCATGATTTTAATCCATCTTACAGAACCAAATCAGAATTGAACTCTTAAGATAAGGACATCTAACAGAATAGGATTTATAATCAATGAATACTGGCAAAATAAATATGGTAGAAAGCATTATACGAGAGTTAAAAGCCAAATCTTTCAGCGATTTCACAAAACTCAATCTGAATAAATTTGATCACCGATCCGAATTTGGAAGAAGCACCATATTTCATAATTGATCCCGCCAAATTAATAACATAAACCACACAACAGACACACGATTGAACGACATCTAAACATGAATAAACTCGTATATTAAAACTTACACAGAAGAATTGGGGTTAAATTTGGAGGGTGTCAAATTTGAGAGTTCCACGCCGGGCAGAGTACAAGACACCTTTTCCGCATTCATGGCAACGAATTATGCTAAAATCTGGTGTTTATACGTAAAACCTTCAAATTTAGGGAAAAGAGAGTTTTGCGATTTCGTTCGAGGGTGTTTTAGGGTTCTTAAAGATCATCAAATCAACAAGTGTAATAACTCTAGAACTATCGTCAGATTATCGAATGAATTATCGTCAGATTCACAGTTTCTCAAACTACCTTCGATTGTAAATAAAGCAGGCATTAAATCTTCTTATCGGTTGACATTACATTTGTCTCGAGTGAACATAAACATAAGTCTACTTAAATATTGTTTAATAATTTTATTTAATGTCTTAGAGCTGTTTACTTACTTGGTAAATATTTATTGGGTAAATTTTTTTATCGAATGAGAATAAGAAGAGCCAAGAATTTTACCGGTAAGAACAATGAAAATGATAGAGAGTCTTGCCCAGTAAGTAAGGATGATGACTCTTACCCTGGTAAGAACTTACCCAACAACTTGTTGCATTGAATATGTTTTGATGTACTAAAATCTTATGTATCAAAATAAATTATAATGTTGAATTATGTCGGTAAGCACTTACCGGATAAACATTTAGGTAAACGGCCCTTTAGGCAGATATGGTTAAAATTCGGTCCTGGTTGTCGGTTAGTTTACCTATTAATAATTTTATTAAGAGACAAAATCGTTTGTTTGATAAAAAAAAGTATGTTTGTTAATGGTTCTAAAACCCTCTGAATGATTTTGTATCTTGGAACTCCCTTAAGTGTCATAATTTCATTGTAAACAATTACCAAACAACTATATTTCATTTTGCACTATATCATAAGAGTCTCTTAATCATTCTGACCATACATCAAACCATTCAACAACTTTCCAAACAAACCCTAAATCATTTTTGGTCTCGATTAAAAACTCTCGTCCCGTTCTTCTAGTAAAAAGCTCGGTTCTCAAAACCAATGTTGGGCTGGACTTAAATCGGTCTTAAATTTTTTCCTATTGTGAGATTAAGGGGTCGTTTACTAAATACTTACCCGGTAAGTGCTTACTGGTAAAATCTAACACTATTATTTACTTATCGTGTAAGATTTTAGTCCACAAAAACGACATTCTATGCAACAATTTACCGGTAAGCGCTTACCATGGTAAGAGTCGTTGTCATCATTTACCGGGTAAGTCTCTTGGTCCTTGTCTCGCTCTTACCGGATAAGATTCTTGGTCCTTACCATATTCATCCAATGAGGTAGTGTGACTTGATAAAAGCTTACCCGGATAACGTTTGGTAAACGGCCCCTAACTATCTTTTGAGGCTATGGGATTGTGGTTTATTCGACAACACCATTATGGGAGACGTAATGCCTCGGTGTTTTATGGCTTGGGTGTCGTTTACCAACGCTAATCGGATAACCCGGTAAGTTTCGATTGGCAAAGGTTAGGTCCTTCCATTAGGTTTGGCTTAACTTAATTTATTCAATTATCTGTATCGATTTATAAATTCTGCAAAGTAAACTACAAAATTGGTTCTTATGGTTTGTCGAAAATATCGTTTTTTCTTCTTACAGCTTTAAAATTACAAAATAACCATCATGGTTTATAAAACATCTGGATTTGGTCACTTCTTCTAATGGCGCAGTTAAAAATTCCATAATATAAGGTGTATTTGTTTTTATTGTTTTTTTTTATTGCTTATGATTTAGGTTCTTCTGGTTTTTGAGTAGGTAAATGACGAAAAGAACTCTATGGGGTTGTTTGTTTACCTCTTAATAGTTCCATTAAAAGGTAGTGTCTAAATCGTTAAGAAGTGAATCTTGTTTGGCAAAAAAAAAGTTTGTCTCTTAATGGTTCAAAAACCCTTTGAATGATTTTGTATCATGGGTCTCCCGTTAACCATTCAACACCCTAATTCTATTGTAAATAATTACCGAACAATTATATTTTATTTTTCACTATATCATGAGAGCCTCTCAATCATTCAGCACCAAACCATCAAGCAACTACCAAACAACCCCTAACTTAATGGAAATTTGTACGGTCGGAATGATCAAATCCGAACATTTTTACAAACCACGATTTCCGTCTTGTGATTTTGAAACCGTAGAGAATTAAATTGTTATTTTTGACAAACAATAAATCTTTTCATTGTTGTCAACGGGACATTGATTTAAATCAATATGCTGCTTGATTATTCCGGTAGCTCGAAGTTCCATTAATGGCGTAGGAAACATAAACCCCAAGAGCAACCACCAGCACCACCACCGCAACCATGTTCACCACCACCGCTCTTTCCTCCTTCATCCCTCCCATGGCTAACCCTTTCCACACCCTCTTATACTCCTCCACTTTACTGCTGATCCCTTCTGTTGATTTGGATCCATCTAATGGTGGTTGCAGACCACCAGGGTTCGCCGCCGGTGGTTGTGGCCGGAGATTTTGATCAGTGGCATCTAAATTGGAAGAAGAACTCCGCTTTGCTGTGTCTGTATGATCTTGTTTTGCATTTTTCATGGGTTCCTTTGACTTTGGGGTGGTTGCGGCGGCGATGGTGGCGGCGTTGGTGGTGGTGGGTGCATCGTTGATCTTCCTTGGTATGGTAACGGTGAGGATTCCGCCATCGAATTTAGCTCGAATTCCGCTCATTTTACAGTTTTTAGGAACTTCAAAGTCTTCCCGAAACCGATTCCATTTGTTTCCAGCAACAAGATGCTCTCCACGAACCCGAAGCTTGTTCGGATATTCGACTGTGAGCTTCATAAACTCCTTCCGGAATCCTACAAAACAAACGTTCGAAAGCAATCATACCCATTGATGAAAAATCGCAATACAACAAAATTAGCTTTATAAAATATCAATGTTTAAATGTCTTAATAGACTGCTTTAGGGGCTTAAGTTTATAAGACCAAACGATTGTGTGTTATATGTAAATGTGTTACAATAAGTTGAATTGACACTTTTTCGATTCTTGACACTAGTTTTTAACAACTGTTATGAAACAGAACATTCTTTCAGTACTATTTTTATCCGACATTATCTGAAAAATATATTTTCTAATGATAAATATGTGTCTAATAGTTCCATTAAGAGATAATTTCTGAATCGTTAAGAGATGAAGCTTGTTTGACAAAAAAAAAGTCTACAGTCTATTAGAACATTTAGATGGTAAAACAACGACTATTACCAGGGAGATAAATAAGAAGAGCGTCGTAATGATCTTCTTGTTTCCATTCAGATATCGGCTTGAACGGTTCATAAACACGGCCAATGATGGTTCGTTGTGGCCGATTAGTATTCACTTCACCGCCCCTCGGTCTTCTCGCCATTTTCCTCTTGCGGTAATCGAACCCCGAGCTTCCAGACGGATACCGACCAAAAATCTATAAAGGGTCCGATGGGTATTCACAGAAAGGGGATTAAAGGTGTGTTTATATGTAGAGATTTGGTGAAAGATTATCTGAAAACGAGGTTAAGTATGCTTCAAGCGTAGGGGTTGTCATGGAATGGAGGTGATGATTGATTTCATGCATGTTACTTGACAAACAAGCCATGGACTCATTCTTTTCTTTTCTCACAAGAAAACAAAAACTTTTAGTTTAGAAGATTTAGGGACCGTTAATATTTATCCGACAAGTGTTTATTAATAAAATTTAACACTATTATTTACTTACTGGGTAAGATTTTAGTCCACCAAAACGACATCACATGCAACAATTTACCCGGTAAGTGCTTACCGTGGTAAAAGTTGTCGTCCTCACTTACCGGGTAAGACTCTTGGTTTTTCTCTCGTTCTTTCCGGGTAAGATTCTTGGTACTTATCACATTCGTCCGGTGAGGTAACGTGACTTGGCAAGCACTTACCCGAGTAAACATTTGATAAATGGCCCCTTAGATCTTTTTTTTATATTATAACACGAGAAGTTTGAGTTTAAAACTTCAAATCTTAGGGGTCGTTTATCAAACGTTTATCAGGTAAGTACTTACTAAGTCACGTTACCTCACCGGATGAATATGGTAAGAACCAAGATCTTACTCGGTACGTGAGGGCGACAACTCTTACCACGGTAAGCGCTTACTGGGTAAATTGTTGCATACGATGTCGTTTTTGTGGACTAAAATCTTAGGGGCCGTTTACCAAACTCTTATTTGGGTAAGAGCTTACCGAGTCACATTACCTAACCGGATGAATGCGGTAAGGACCAACAATCTATACCTGGTAAGAGCGAGGCAAGAAAAAGAGTCTTACCCGGTAAGTGAGGGCGATGACTCTTACCATGGTAAGCGTTTACCGGGTAAATTGTTGCATACAATGTCGTTTTCGTGAACTAAAATCTTACCAGGTAAGTGAATAATAACGTTGAATTTTATTGGTAATTGCTTACCGGTTAAGTGTTTGGTAAACGACCCCTTACTCGGTTAGTAAATATTAGTGTTAAATTTTACTCGTAAACACTTACCGGGTAAGTGTTTGGTAAACGGCCTTACATTTACAACAAAATTTAGTTTATTTGAATCGAAAAAATAAAATGACTTGAGAATAGTTTTGTATGTATTTCAGGGGTGAACATGATATTGTATCATGTTTTTTTTCCTTCCAAATATCATGTACTAACCAATTATAATTGGTACGTAAAATTTTATACCATGTACCAACCAATTATACTTGGTACCAACTTTTTTTAGTTGTGCATGTTGGTACGACCAAATCCATGAATGATGTAATGTGTGGAATTAAATTCGTTCTATAGATAAACCAAACGGGAATTTGCTCACCGGAATTAATCATTCCAATTTCTTCAGATTCCCTCGGAATACTGCGAACCAAACGCCCTTTATTGGAAGTTAAAAATTATTCTATATCTCTTCCATATATGTTTAGAGATTTCTGCCTTATCTCTCTTATTTTATCATACCATTTAGCATAGCTGTTAGAGCAAAAAAAATTATAAATCATCATTTTTTTAACATGTCTGTTGGAGATGCTCAAAAGGGGAAATTTACTTTAACTCCAACAACTTTTTCTATTTTGGAGAATAAAACATCGATTATATTATTAAAATATTAAATTAATTTAATATATCAGTAATTTTTTAATCACTATTATGAAAAATGATGATACAATTAACTCCATTTATAAAAGCAACAGAAAACAATTTATCTCACTTCACAATTATTTTTACAAAACTCTTTAAACTTGTAGATTTTTTTAGCTCTTTGTTTTATTTATTTCTTCATTTCGGTTATCAGAGCATCTCAAACATATTCTCTAAAACAGATAAAAATGATGTTTTTATTTTGTATACTGTTCTTGTTCTCTAAATAGAAAAACCTAGAGAAATCTTCAAATATAGATAATTTTTTAAGAACATCTCCAACAGATTTTTCCAAAAATTTCAAAATGGTGAATGAAACTTTGAAATATGTAAAACAAAAATACATTCAACTCCAACAAATTATTTCGTTTTATTATATTTTTAGGGGAAGACTAATGGAACCCTTACCCCATTATGATGACACCTCTATTCATATGTAATCACTTTTTTTTGTATTTTTGTATTTTTTCTTTTTTTATATTGATTTTCTTTTAGTTATCTTATTTAATTATAA